TCATGAAAATATAAATTATAATAACATAAATAGTGAAAGTATAAAAGATGAATGTGTAAATGATGAAAATAATAATTATACAGAAAATATATATGAATACTTTATAAATGATAAAAATATTCCCAATAAAAGTAGAAATTATGATGAAAATATAAAAAAAGGGAATTTTTCGTCTGATTACATTGAAAATTCTAAAACAGTGACGATTTATGATAACTCTGAAAAAAGTATAAAGGAAAACAATAACAACTACTCTTATGAAAAGAAAAAAACTATAAATGACAAATGGGAATATATAAATAAAGAAGAAAGAAAAGTCACCTATACAGAAAAAAATTTAAATAGTATAATAGATGATTCAAAAAATTATGCAGACAATAAAATAACGATGAATAATAATAATATTTCATATTATGAGAAAACACTACAAGATGAAAATGAAATTAGTGATATCTCGACTGACGAAATTTTAAGCGATTTGGATACAGAAAGTGATGAAGAAAAAATAGTTGAAGAAATAAGAAAATATAATGAAAATATTTACGAAAATTTCAATAATAATGAAATTTGCATACTATCTGAAGATATTAAGAGAAAAGAAAAATTACTAGAAGAAGAAAATAAGAATATATGGAATCTAAAAAATAGGTGTTCTAAAATTGAAAAATGTATTGAGATAAAAAAAAAAAAAATAACATATATAAAGACAAAAATTGATGAAAAAACTGGAATAGAATTAGAAGAAGAGGAGATTTGCAAGAATACTGAAATTAAAAATAATTTTTTAAAAAAAGAAAATAGAAAGTTAAAACTAGAAAGAGAAAAAAATAATGAAAAAATAATAAAAACTCAAGATGATTTAGAGAAATGTGAAAATGACATAGAAGAAATAAAAAAAAAGTTAATTTATAAAGAAGAAGAGTTAAATGAATGGATTAAAAGAGTCAACAAAATACAAGAAGAAGAATATGAAATAGAAAAATTTAGATTATCAAAAGATAAAGAAATAGGAAAATTATCTCTTAACCTTGAAAAATTGAGTGAACAAAAAGTAGAATATGAAAAAAATCTAAATAGCTTTAAAACAAAAAACATGAAATTAAATATCGAATTAAAATCCATTACTAATGAAATACAGGAAACAGAAAAAGAAAAAAAAGATTTATTTCAAAAATGGAAATGTATACTAGATTCTATAAATAGTAGAGATGAAACTATATTTAAATTTGAGGAAGATTTTAGAAAATATTTAAATAAAGAAAAAAAATTACAACAAAAATCCGAAAAAATAGTTTCAAATATAAATGCACAAAAAAGTAAAAACAATGAAATAAATGATAAAATAAAAGTATCTCAGCTAGATTTAAATAAATTAAGAAAAGAAGTTTCACAGGTTAACTATAATTCAAATAAAATAATTATAGAAAGGGATAACCTATACAAAGATTATGAAAGTGAAAAATTGAACCTTAAAGAAAAATATGAAGAAAAAAAAAATTTAGAAGCTTATTTAAATGAATTGCTAAAAGATTACGACAAACTTCTAATAAATCGTGAAGAATCAAAGAAAGAATTTATTAAAGAAGAGTTAAAGAATGTTGAAAAAAATGAATTAATAAAATCAAGCGAAAAAATATTAAATGAATTGCAAAATAAATTAAGAAATTTAATTTCGGAAATAAAATCATTAGATGAAGAAAAATTCTGTTTATCAGAAGCGTTACAGAAAAGCAAAAACGAATATTCAATATTAGAATCTAATGTCTTTGGTACTCAAGTAAAAATTAAACAAATTAAAAATAATATAAAGAAGATAGAACAAGAACTAGAAAGACAAAAAGAAATTTTATATAAATTTGATTTTCAAACACAAGTTTTAACCAAGAAACTCAGTGTTATATCAGGAATTAGCACTTTTGAAAAAAAAAAAGAAAATCAAAAAAAAATTACCACATTAGAAAAAGAATTGTCACAATATGAAAGTATTTTTAATACATTAAACAATGAAATTAAAAGTATTAATGTAGAATTGAAAAACATCAAAATTTATCAGAATAATTTAAAAGAAGAAAAAACTAATATTTTAAATTTATCTGAAAAATTACAATTAGAAATTAAGTCCTTAGAAAACACTCTAAATAATGAAAATAAAGAGAAAGAAAACATTATGTTAATAGAGATGAATTTAAAAATAGAACTAGATAAACTGAAAGCAATATTTTCCAAGCATTTAGATAATTTAAATCATTTAAAAGAAAAAAAAAAAGAAAAGTTTAAAGATGCCAAATTAAACGATCAAGATATTTCTGCTAATATTGAATCTTTAAAAATTATTATCAAGAATATAAATGAAGAAGTACATAAACTAAATATGCAGTTATATGATAAAAAAAATAGATGTAACCATTTGGAATCAAAATTAAATAGTATTATTGAAATGAATAAAACAGAAGAGGATGATAGCATTAATGATGAAAATCATAATAAATACATTTATTATAAAATTAAAATGGAAGAAGATACAATTAAACTAAAGGAAGAAATAAAAAAGATAGATGACAAAATAATAAAAGAGAGAGAAGAAACAAATAATTTTCAAAAAACATTAAATGATATCTTACAAGCAAATAAAATTTTCAATGACAACATAAATTGTATAGATCCTCAATATAAATCGCTTTTAAAAAAAAAAAATAAACTAAATAAAAAATTGAATGAAATAAATGAAGAAATAAGAATTACAGAAAAAAATATTAGTGATCACAATATGAAAATTGAAAATATAAAAAATGAATTAAACTCTTTACTATTAAAGAGTGAAAATATAGAAAAAGACTTAGAAATTTTTAAAGAAAATAGTAAGAAAATGGAAAATTTATTAAATGAATTATACACTAAAATTGAAAGAGCCTCTAATCATTTGAAAAATGTTTTAAGTATTAAACAGAAATCATTAAAAGTAAAGACAAAAAATGAAAGCACACATGAAATAGATAATAATATTACTGAACAAGTTTCCTTGGAAAAAAAAATCTTTAAACATATCCAAATGGAATCACTTAGAGAAAAATTATCCCTTCTTTTTGATTGTTTTAAAGATGAAGGAGATAATACACTTATGAAGGAAATATTTAATATTATAAAAACATGTGAATAAAGGTTCACTTTAATATGATTTTCACTCCTAATATAATATATCAATTTTATAAAAAATAAATACTTTTTTATTTTAATCATATATATTTATTTATAATAAAATATTTTGAAAAAAAGACATATATTTATAAATTTTGCTTTTTTTCATAGTTAAGGGAATAAGAAGGCATAATTTTTTTTTTCTTTTATGAACAAATAAAAATAAAGCATATTCCCCAATTAATTTTCTGGTATAAGTATATACATATTTTATTATTTCATTAAAAATTAAACTATTTTAAAGCCTCGTATGATTATATTAAAATATAAATGATGATTCATTATTAAATTTTATTATTTTTATTTTATTATTTTTCTGCATATATACATAAATTATTATTAAATTTTTTATTTAAAAAAAAAAAAAAATTTAGATATATAACAAAAAAGTGCATATAAAAATAGAGTAAAAAAGAAATATATATTAAAATAAATATATGCTCTGTAGTATGTATTTATATATATTCATATATATATATATATATAAAAAAATAAAAAAATACACAACAAAAAAGAAGATAAACAAAAAAAAAAAAAAAGTAAAAAAAAATAAAGAAAATTTAAATTAACAAATTAGATAAAATAATAAAAAAAAAAGAATAAAAGAAATAAGATGTTAGAAAGCACCATGGATGAAGTTCCACTTTTTTTATTTGGATCTTCAAAAGTTTGGTCTACATCTCCAGACAAAGAGTATAAGTCAACATTATTATTTATTATATCATCTGTTTTTTCACCATTTGGATCACGTACTACAGCGATTAAAGGAGCATTGTTATTTGAATCATATTTATTCACCGCCATACTTTTTTCATTCCTATTTTGTACATTTTGAACTTCAATTGCTGATAAATGTTTCTTTGAATTTTTAATAGTTTTCTTACTTTGTTCAATTTCCCTTAATTCTTCTAATTTTATTTTTTCATAAACTAAATTGTATTTACTAGCAAATTTGTTAACTAAATCTTCTTCTTCTGAAACATCTTTTATATCAGCACTATCAATTAATTCATCATTAACTAATACTTTTTTACAGTATGTTCTGGCATCTCTTTCTGGAGATGGTGTCATCAATATGAATGATTGAATTACAGACAAAATTACTGCTTGTGGTTTTATTAATAAACGGACTAACATAGTATTGTCATTTAAATCAAGAAAGGAGTTTTCTATAAGTTTTTTAATTCCTTCTTCATCTATGTTATTTGTTGGTTCATTATTTTCAAACTTAACAATATTTGTATCTTTTATTAAATCTTTTATTAAGTCTACAATATTTTTTGATTTTAGTGAACTGATTGAATATAGAGGATTGTTTAATACATTACCTTGAGATTTTGTATTCTTACTATTTTCTGGTGTATTTGATAATTCCTGAGGTTTTGTTATTACAATGTTATTATTTGTATTTGAAATTTGGGGTTGATTTTCTTTTATATTTATAACTGTGTCTGAATTAGGATTTGTAATTGTATCTGAAGTTGGATTTGTTTTTGTATCTGAATTAGGATTTGTAATTGTATCCGAATTAGGATTTGTTTTTGTATCTGAATTAGGATTTGTATTTGTATCTGAATTAGGATTTGTATTTGTATCTGAATTAGGATTTGTATTTGTATCTGAATTAGGATTTGCAATTGTATCTGAATTATGATTTGGATTTGGATTTGGGTTTGAATGTGAATCTGAATTTGTATTTGTATTTGCATTTGTATTTGTATTTACATTTGTATTTGAATTTGTATTTACAGTTGCATTTGTGTTTGTATTTATATTATCATTAGTCTCTGAATTAGTCTCTTTTATTTCTTTAAATTGGGCGAAAGAATTGCTACTGTTTGCATGATGGTGCTTATAACTACTTAAATTGTGAAAAACGTCTTCATTATTTAAAACTTCCGTTTTAGATTGCTCATTTATTCTTGTTAATATATGTTGAGTTCTATAGCTAGTTAATTTTTCATGTATATTTATTAATCTTTCAATCATTCCACCTTTTTCCAATAATTTAGTTGCAAAATATGGGAAATAGTAATAGTATTCTGAAAATGCATAAAATGCTTCGTTTAAAATATCTTCATTATTAATTTTTAAAATTCCAAAATTTTCAAATTCTAAACTATTTGACACCAAGTTTGATTGGCTACCGTTTCTTAATTCACAAAAAATTCCTGCAATTAAATGTTCCCTTTTTTTTAGAACATCGATAATTTTTTTAGACCACAATTTTTCTGACAAATCTACAACGGAAGTTCTTAAATCAGTAAATAATTGAATTGATGATCTATAAATTTCTTTTAAATCATTATCTACACATTTTAATAAAAGATTATAATGCTTCAATATGGTACTAAAAGTATTTTCTGATTCCTTTTTTTCAATGAATGATTTCAATAATATATTACTAAAAGCTATTTTAGAATGGCATAATTTTCTATATGTAAATTTATGTATTAATGCCTCATATTTACTACTAGAACATGGGAATGTTAAAGCCTTTTGGTCCTTTTCATGTATGCAAATGTTTGTAAATTTTTGTTCTGTGCATAGATAATCATCGTTCAATCTACTTTGTAATGCTTCCATTATAGTAGTAAATAAATCCTTTTCATTCAACAATTTTTCAATCATTTCCTCAGCCATCTTTTGGATTGCACATGAATTTTCATTATTTAAGGAATTATTTTGACTAACATTTTGGGCATTGTTTTGATCATTATTTTGGTCAGCTGTTAATGCTTTAGAATTATATGTATTTCTTATTAAAGCTCTAGTAGCATTGAATAAAGTGATTATTAATACAAAGAAGAAGAATATATTATATTTCATTGTTTATCTCATATATGATACTTTATTAAATAAAATTAAAAAAAAATAAAATATAATAAAAACAGAACACAATAAATTATTATAAGTCTTCTCCTTTGTACATATGTTCTGATGTGAATTTAATTTATTTACTTTTTTTATATAAAATTAATATCTTTAGTTCACTCTTCTATTTTTAATAAATATAAATTTAAAAATGGCAATATTCCCAACTTTTAATATTTATAGCTCAATTTTAAAATATTTTCTTCAGTTAAAATGAAAATTGAAATTTTTTTTATTTTTCTTGATGAAGATACCAAATAGCTGAAGAAAATTAAAAAATAACATAACAAAGATGTATTCTGTAGTATAATGCAAATGTTTTAAATTTATTTTATTAGAAGTGTAAAAGCAATGCATTATTTTTAATCTTAAAAATCAAGATTATACAAAAAATTTAAAAAAAATGATTATGTTTATTAATTCTTAATTTAGTTATAAAGGAAAAAATTAAAAATATTATTCATCTTTTATTAAAATAATGAACTTTTTCCACATGTAATTGCAAAATAAAAGTAAAAAAGTATGTTCAAAGAAAAAGAAAAAAAAAAAAAAAAAAAAACTAAAAAAAAATTAAATACAAGCAGAGAAAAAAAAAAAAAAAAGATATAAATATATATATATGGAAATTTTTGGCTATTTTTTAAGGTAAAATTAAAGAAAAAAAAAAAAAAAAAATAGATTTTTTCTGACATGTCATATATTTTGCAACAATGTATTGATAAACAATCCTTAAAAATACATAAGAAAAAAACATATATATCAGAAAAATAAAAATCTTAAAAAAAATTATTACATTTCAAAAAGAAAAAAAATAATTTTTTTTAAGGATAAAGGACACTTCTTTAACACAACATGAAAATATTAAAAAAATGAATACAACTTAAAATCATCAACATTATACTTTAAAAAAACTTCAAGTACTTTCTATAATGATGAAACTTTTTAGTAAATGAGATATAACAAAATTTGAAATTTTTAAATTAAATAATTTTTACATTTCCTCTTTTTTTATTTTGTAAAAATTGTTTCTCTTTTTTTGTAAATGAGTTGTATTAAAAACATGCAACTGATCCCATGGTTCACATTCAATTTTTGCGTGTGCTATAAAAAAAGGGATCAATGTTATTTTTTTTAGTTAAGAAGAATTCTAATATTTTAAGATATAAAGATCATTTAATTAAAATCAGGTTTATATAGTTCATATTAAAGTTATATAAATGAAATAATATATAAAAAAAAAATGAAAATTTGTCCTTAAAACTTGTATAAATTAAAACTATTTTTTTGAGAAACACGCATGCATCGAGCTACTTGAAAAAAAAAAAAAAAAAAAAAAAAAAAAAATATTAACCTTCAAATATCATATAAATCAATATTATTTCTGATTATATTAATTTTTAAATTAATTTTGTAAATATACCTAATTTTTTGCTATAATAAATGTAAATAAATATAAGCTAATGGCACATTTTAGTAGCAAAAATTTTATTTTGGTTATCTGTACGGTAAAACAAAAAGGAACGTTTTACATTCATGGCTTAAGAAATGTGGTTTCTATTAATACGGATAAAATTTTTATTTAAAATAAAATATATATTTCATAATTTTTGATAGTTATTTTTAAAAAAATGGATAATGGTATTTTATGAATTCATTTGTATGTTGTGAAATTTACACAAAAAAGAAACTTTCATATTTTTTGCATGTATCATTATACATATAAATGGATACGTTTTAATGCTAATCCTAGTTTTCTATTAGGTAATAAATAAATTAAAAGAATTTACATGAATAAAATTAAAAAAAAAGTTAATAAAAAGAACCAAATCGTGTAATTTTAATGAAGTTGTAATATAATAAAAAGTTCAAATATCCTTAATTTTTGATTTTTATTTCAATTTATTCTTGAACATATGTATACACATATGCAATATTAATTTAATAAGAAAATCCCAAAATTAGAAAAATTAAAATTTTCCTTTTTATATATCGAAAAAGAAAAAACAGATGAACTTTCACTAATAAGACTTATTTTAACATGGTTTTCAAGATAAGTGAAAAATTTACATGATCAGAAATTAATCAAATTTATTTTAAAGGATTAAGGAAAAAAAAAAATTCGACTAGTTTACTAAAAATAAATATAAGGAAGTTTTGCAATATAATAAATATATTTTTTTGTAAAAAGAATAATAGTAAAAAATGAAATAAATAGAAGTTTATTTGAATAAATGACAAAAAAAAAAAAGGCTTAAATAATAAAAAATAAAATGTACTTGAACAAATTGTAGATATCAATATATAATTATATAAACAAATAATTATAGTCTGATAAAAAAAAATTGTATGAATATGAGCAAATTTGTACATCTATTTTTCTTAAAAAAAAAAAATAAATAAGTAAAAATAATATTTTATTTTTCTTTTACATTCTTTTTTTTTTTTTTTTTTATAAATTAAAATTAAATATGATCATCATTATAAAATATTTTTGAAGTATTTTCAAATGTTATAGGAATATATAGAAAACATATTTTATTCTTCTAAATTTTCTTCATCATATAAGTCTCCCTGTAATATTCTAATTACGCCATTATTTTTAATTAAATCATCTGAAATTAAACTAACATAATCATATTTACAATTAGGGCAAGATTCATCAGTATTGAATTTTTCAATTAAACAATTTGGACATTTTAATCTGGCAACTATAAAATCTAAATTTCCTTCATCTTCTAAATTTTGTAAATCTACGTCATTTCCTATTGAAATTCCATCTATTAAAATTTGAGGTAAAATAACTCCATTTTCATTAGTAAGTAATAATTGATCTTTCTTCCATTTAGTAAATAGCTCTGTGTCTTTTAAGTCTGTGAATATAAATTATTATAAGAAATGTATTATATTGTCTAGGAGAATAAAGAAAAAAAAAAAAAAAAAATCTTACTTTTTGCTGTGCTTGTATCTCTATTGGTATCTATTACAAAATATACATACTTTTTACAATTTAATAAATTTTGTGCTCTTAAAGATGAAAAAAATGATGCTTTTATTCCTCCAAGTGATGTCGTTATTAAAACAATTTCTGCTTCTTGCACTAAAATAGTTAATTTTTTTTTATTTTTTCCTTGCTTAATATAATTTTTTTAGATTTTATAATTGTAATTTTTTTTTCTTTTTTTTATTTACTTAATAAGGTTTCATTTTGCTCTAAATGAAAAAGAAAAAAAAATTTTTTGAATATATTTATAATCTCTCAAGAAATTTCATAATTTTTAAAAAAAAAAATTTTAAACTTACCATTATGGCCGTAATCATTACTTGTATATTTTGTTTGTTTATCATTATATCCAATATTTTCAGAATCCATTATGCATAAATAAGTATTTTTGAAAACTTATTTGGGATATTTAGATACTCAGTTTTTCAACTAAAGAAATAAGTTATAATATATGTTTTATTATATAAAGTAATAATATAATGTAAATGATTAAGAAATACTTTATGTTTTAATTTAAAAATATAATGGAGAATTAATAAATTTTGAATTTTTCTATATAGAAAAAAAAAATTTTTTGTAAACATTTATTTTTTAAAACTTTAAATGTTGTAAAATTCTGTAATTTTTTTTTTCATTTCGAAACAAATTATATAAATAAATAAATAAATATATATATATACTAAATGATATGTAAAAAAACTGTTATCTATAATATAATATGTTAATTAAAGTATTTTCAATATATTACATTTTACAAATTTTATATTACGATGTGTACGAAAAAGGAAAATATAAACGAACACACTTTTTTGCTTTTATCTGAAAAATAATTTAACAAGAAAATAAAAAAAAAAAAAAAAAAGAGGGTTCTTCTACATTTTGTAATATTTTTAATATGATACTGTTTAGAATGATTTTCTCATTTTTTTGTTAATTTATAAAAAAAATTAATAAAATGTATTTACCATATACAGTTTCTACATATTATCTATTATTTACTTGGAGCCAATGTTTTTTTTTTTTTTTTTTTTTTTAATTTTTAAATGCTTTGTATATGGATATTGGTTTAAATAGCACCATAACATGACATTCAAATTTTAAATATATTCTAATAAAAAAAAAATTTAATTAGTAACGTTAAAATTTTGTCTTTAGAAAAAAATAATTAATAAAAAAATAAATGAAGTTATTTCCCATTTTTTTTTATTTCTGAGTGTTTTAATAATATAATTTGTTGCAACATTTATTGTTGTTGAAGTTTTACTCACAATAAAAAATAACTTTAAAAAAAATAAATAAATGAAAACAGATTATTTTAAAGGTAAAAAAAATTGTTACGAAAATAATTTATTGCATTTGATATAAAAAATTTTTTGTTTTGTTTCTTCATTTTATCATTTTTTTTTTTTTTTTTTCTTTTTGTGTGTGCGTGTTAATCTCTTTGGATTTTTTAAAATGAGTATTATTCTTTTTTTTAATTTTCTGATCAACTTTGTATTGAATAATTAATTCAATTTTTCAATCAACATACAATTTTCACCAATTATTTTTAGTAAGTTTTAATATTTTCTCTTTATCTTATAAAAACTTTCTGTATAATTTTGTGTTTACTCATTTATAAATAATTATGCATTTTTTTTAAGACATTGTTCTTAAATATAAAAAGTAATTTTGGAACTTTTATAAAGTATATGTTACCTTTTTATAATTTAGAAAAAAAACTTTTTAATGGGAACATTTAAAATTACTTTTTTTCAAAGTAAAGATTGAAAAAATATATATATATAAAATAAAGATGATTACAAGTACATGAATTTTTAGTTACAAAAAATATTTTATATTTTCTTATGGGCTTTTAAAAATAAAAAAATTAAGTATAATTAAAATTTAAGAATAGGGGAATTATTTTTTTTTAAAATATATATATAAAGAATAACTATTTTAATGTAAATTTAAATTAATATACATATTATTAATTAAATATATAAAAGTTTCAAGTTTGATTTAGACAAAAAAAAAAAAAAAAAAAAAAAAAAAATTACATGTACCTATTCTTTTAATATTTTAGAAGAAATTTTTATTTATAAAACTAATTTTTTTTGTTAAAAAAAAATTGCTCAATGTTTATTAAAAAAAGCTAAAATTAGTGTTTTTAAATCATTTTTTTTTATATCTACAGCTAAAAAAATAAAATTATTTCTTAATAATTAATTTAAATTACATAATTGTTAAAAATGATCTAATAATACTAAATTATCAGTAATTATGATGAATATTTATCTTTATTCTTATAATAGCTTTAGTCAATAAAACAAAATTTACGTACATTTGTGATTATATTTATTAGTTAAAATTTTCATTATTTTAAATAACACATACAACCCTATTAATCTCATTTATCATTTGCTAAAATTATTATCTGTCAAGTATTTATGGAACACATATAATACTTTGTATTTTTTATTTTTTTTTCAATAATTAGAATGTAACATGTTTTCCAATAAAAATGAAAAAAAAAAAAAAAAAAAAAAATAAATAAATAAAATATGTAAAGGATATTTGAATTTTTTTAAAATTAAAAAAAGAAAAATATAAAAATAAAATATTCATATACAATTGAAAACAAAAAAGAAAAAAAGAAAGAAAAAAATTTCAATTAAAAATACAAAAGTATATATTTATATATGATTTTTTTTGTGTAGATAAAACTGTCACAAAAAGGTAATCAATTTTCCTTATTTAAAAAAAAAGGCCATAATAACATAATCATAAATCTATTAAATTATAATGTAATATCCATTAGAAAAATAAATAAAATATGTAAATACATAAAACGATGAGTGAATTAAAGTTCTTGAATTTCAAATAGCACGTAAAATTATTTCGATCATATTAAAAAAATAATAATAAATAATTGAATAATAGGTATTTTAAGATAATATTTGAAATTAATAGAGGGAAAAAAAAAAAAAAAAAAAAAAAAAAAAAAAGAGTAATGTATATAAATATATAGGTAAAACTAAAAGTGAATAGTTTAAAATTATATTGATGTAAATCAAAAAAAATATATGTGGATATAAAAATAATACAGGCATTTCTATATACTCATTTTAATTTTTTTGATTCAAATAAACAAAAAGATGGAACTATATCAAGAAGAAGTATATGATAGGGCAAATATAAATATTAATGTGATAATTAATGATAATATAAAAGAAGTAATTATAAAAAATCTTAAAAATAATATAAAAGACAAAAATATTAGAATAAACAGCTATGATTATAGTAGCATCAATAAAATAAATTATTTTATCAAAGATTCTATAAATTCTGAAAATAACATGCTACATTTCTGGATAAAAAAAATTAAAATTATTGCATCAGTTATTATTTTTTGTATTGACTGGCAGAATATAATTAATGGTGATAAAAATGATTTAAATAAAGAATGTCCTATTGAGAAAAGTATTAAAGATATGAAAGAAGATAATGAGGAAAATGAAAATAATGATGAAATAAATTTAAATGAGGAAAATACAAATGATGAAATTTTGATTAGTAAAGTTTTAAATAAGTGTAGCATTCAAAATGTCGAATTTATGAATGAAATAAACAATGATTTAATTAAAAAAATAGATGAAATAAATAAAATAATTATGAAAAGAAAAAAAATGTGTAAAATCATTTTATTAGTTATATTACCAGAAAATACAAAAAACACAGAAGAATATATCAAGCACATCACTTTGTTAAATTCTCAAAATATAAATGCCATATTTATCACTTTAGGTTTAAAAGAAATACACAATAAAATAAAAAAATTAGAAAATTTATTAAAAGATTGTATTAATTCATTTTTTAAACAATATATAGTTAGTTATGAAAGTAAAAGTAGTAAAAATCTGATATGCTTCTTTAATTATAACTTTAAGAAAGCTTATATACTAGAAATGCTAGAAAAATATGATGAAAGTATGAAAATATATGTAAATTTATGCAAAATATTTTATGAAAACATAGGGAAAAAATTATTTTCAGATATCGTAAAATTTTTTGAGTATGTTATCTTTTTTAATTCAATTAGCATAAGAATGATATACATATATTTACATTTTAAAGATGTTAAGAAAAGCATTCACCATATATATACGCATAATAAAATAATTTTTCTAGCATTAATGAATAAAAAATTTACATATGAAAAAAATGATAAGTTGTTAGAAATTATTAATGTTTTTAATATAACTTGCAGTCATGATTTTGTGAACTACATAAAGTATTCTGCGCTTGATGATGTAAAACATAAGAAGACAATGATATTAAATGAAGATTGTTTGAGTGAATTGGTTTATATTTTATATGATAGAATAATTAAAGAATATCTATATTATAATTTACTCTCATGTGTATATTTTTATTTTTACAGAATAATTAAAAATATTAACATTAATATTCACGATGTAGCTGTATATGGCCTTTATTGCTGTTTTTGCATTCATTATAAAATTAAAGCACTTAAAAAAAGAAAAAAATTAATTAATGAGTTTAGAAACATTAAACTTGATACTTACTTTAAAATAGCTTCAATTTCCCATTTACACGATTTTATTTTAAATTTTTTAATTGAAATTTTTCACATAATAAGTATAAATAATATTTATAATTTATCTGTAATTATTATTTATTTTTTGTGTATGATATATTTTGAAAAAAAAAACTATATATTTTGCTTGTATTTATTGTTACAATTTTTCAACCATAAAGATCCCTTTTTTATATTAAGTTCATTTGATACCGTAATTCTAAAGGAAGAAAAATGTGACATAAATGATTTTTATACATCTCTAGAAAAATTTAAAGAAGAAAAAACTTATCTTAGAAATAGGTAATTTATTTTATTTTAAAAAAAAAAAAAAAAAAAAAAAAAGAAAAAAAAAAAAAATATTTTTATTTAATATATGAACAATTTTTTTTTTTTTTTTTATATCATTATTTTTACAATAAATATATGTATACACAATTCATTGTATGTATTTATTATTTACTTCTCAGAAGAGGAAACTATTATGGATGCTTGATACTTTTGGTAGTAAATAGCTTAGGATTTTTATTAAATCATGAAAAAATAATAACAAATATAGATAAAAATATTTTAAACAATGAAAAATTTAACATAGTACATTATGAAAATTTATTTATCAATATTTGCTTTGAATATTTGAACATATTAATAAGTAATAATAATCAAAGGGAACAAATTGAATTCACTGAATTTATTACTTCATATTTTAAGTTCATAAATAAAGATTTCTTTTTTCATAAAGAATTAGATATATCAATATCTAATATATTTATGAACTTATACTATTTAATTGATGAGAATAATCTTAAAATTTTTTTAAAAATAAAAAATAAAAGCTACACTAATTTTATTTTATTTCCGTTTATTGGAATTTCAATAAATAATAAACTGTCATATTTTAAGTTAACTTTTTCAAACATTTATGAAGATATTTTTTTTTCGTATGCAGAAAAAGTAAGTTATGAAAACATAGATGAATTATTTTTAATTGATTATTTATCCAAGGAAAAGAGATTAAATCATGAAAATAGTTGTATAAATGATCAAAATGTGATAAATAAACAAAGTGTAAAGAATAGTGAAAAGTTATTTTTAGACAAAGAAAATTTAATTAGTTTATTTTTATGTAATAAAAAAGGAAATGAAATTGATATTAATCATGTTGAATTATATTTACATATTTATAATCAAATTATAAAAATAAAAATAAATAAAATTTTCACCTATTGCTTAAGAAAAGAATATTTAGAAAAACTAAATATTTTAGAAGAAAAAATATCAATTAAGACAAATAATAATATTTATCTAGATCATAATGATACTAAAAATAATTTAAACATAGTATCTGATAGTTTAGTTTTAAAAAATTCATTTGGAGAATTTAATCCTAAAGAAAATGACATACTTAACGAAAAATCAATAATAAATAATATTAATTATGTTGATTTAAAAAATGTTAATCAAGATGATAACATTGTATTTGAAATAAGGAATAGTAATGAAATAAATAAGGCAGATTTTTATAAATTAAAGAAAGGGATATACCTAAATAAATATAAAAATAAAATTATATTTAATAAAAATAAATATTTCTATAAAAATATATTAATTAAATATGTGAATTATTTTGTCTATTCAAATAATAATATTTTATATTTAGGTGAATATAATATTTCCTATATTTTTATTAAATGCTCAAAATACATTCAAAATTTTGAATTATATTTTTCATTTATCACAGAAGACATAGAAAATTTAAACTTTTATTTATTAACGAAAAATAGTAATATAATAGGTGTTCAAAAAATTAAAAGTGGGGAAAAAGTTAAATTCACTGTAGATAAAAAGATATGCAAATTTTTTCAAAAAAGAAATAATATTACAAGTTGTTCTAACTATGTAAACACTAATAAAAAAACATTAAAAAATAAATTATATAAGAAAGATATTAATTATATGCATACCACTTGTGAGAATGTTAATAATGATAATGATAATGATGATAATGACGATGATGATGACGATGATGATGAGGATGAGGATGATGATGAGGATGATGAAGAGGATGAAGATGAGGATAACTATAGTAGTTATAATGAGTATAGTTATGATAAAAATAAAAATATAAATTCTATGAAAAATGTATCCAGTGTATCAATTAAAAATAATGAAATAGATGAATTCATTATTGATAGAACTTTTCATAAATTATTAACAGATGATTTAAATAAAGAAATGGATGAATTATTAGAAAAAAAAGAAAATGATTTGTTTTTTTTTGAGATTAAATTGAATAAAAGAAAAAGAAATATAGAAAAAAAACTTAAAAAATTATATGGAAAAAGCAATTTTTGTAATGAATGCTATATATCATATAATATTAGAAAAGAAAAAAAAAATAGAAATAAAATTTTTTCATTTTATTCAAACCAAGAAGAAAAATTAATATGTATACCATTTCTTATATATCCAAAAAATTCAAAAAATTCAAAAAATATAAATGTAAATTTTGAATTTTTTTTCAAAAGTGTTTATTTTAAAGATACTTTAAAATATTCGATGATATATTATATTGAACCTTCAATAATAACAATGGTAACAAAGATGAAAGTATTAAACGATAAAAAGAAAATGAATGAAAATACAGGAGATGATTATATAAATAAAATGGTTAATAATAATGAAACATGTAAATTATTGAAAAATCATTCTAAAGAAAAAAATTACAACATTGATACACTTAATGATAATAAGAACCAAAAAATCTATAATGATTTAAATTATTATTATATATATATATATAATAATAATATAAATAGTATAGCTATCAAAAATATAACGGGTAGAAAATTAAATGACATAATCCAAGTTAAATATAAAAGTACATACTGTGATTTAATAAAAACTTCTAATGAAAACATAAATATAAATTATCAATTTAATTATAAAAATTTACTTTTTCCATTTAACAAAATATTTAAAGAAGTAACTTTTGTTTATTCAATAAAATTACCATACAATGATTTAGAAGATGTAAAAGAAATAAATTTCATAAAAGAACAAAAAAAAAGCAAAATTAAAATAGAATTGATTTACTCTAAAATTGTAAGATATAATGAAACTTTTATTGTCGAATCTGTTATAACTAATGAAACAAATATTACTGAAGAAGTTGTTATTTTTCTATATGATAACCAAAAACGAAGAAAAAAAGCATATCATGATAAAAATAATTTAGAACGAACAAAACAAAATAGAAAAATTCAAGACGTTAAAAAAAAAAAAATACATGAACACAAAAACACATTTGGAAGTAGTTCTGAGTTTTCTTTTTCAGATGATTTAGAAAATTTAATTGATCATGATTATTCCTTATCAGTTGATGAAGATGACAATTATAAAAAGGATTATATAATAACAGGTGTTAAAATAATGAAGAATATTTTATTACCTTATCAAACAATTCGATTAAAATGGGCTTTTATTGCATTTACATATGGTAATATAAAATTACCTAATGTATTAATAAAAAGAAAAACAAAAATAAAAAATAATATAAATGTTTTCTCATCACCAAATATTGAATTATTCGTAATATAGTTCTATTATTTTTCATAAAATTATATTCATACGTTTAATGCCTTTTTAATTTTTTTTTTTTTTTTTTTTAATTTTATATCATTCCTTTTTATTACCCTTTTTATGTGTTAAATAGAATTACCTTTTTTATAGTTTATTCTTTTTTTTTTTTTTTTTTTTTGTTTTTTTTAAATAATTTTATATTTTGGTATAAGTAATTTTTCTTTTATTTTACAAAAAATATAGTAAAAGAAAAGGAATACAATTTTTACATATATTTTTGAAATATTAATCAACTTTTAGTAATAATTTTAAGTATATTTTTTAATATTATTTTAAATATATAAGTTTTTTTTTTTTTTTTTTTTTTTTTTTTATTACAATATCACAATTAATAATTAAATAAAAGAATTTGTCGGAAATGTTTTAAAACATTAAAAAAACAAAAATGCATAATACAGATAATAATGCATAAATTTGTTAACTAAATATACTTTTATTTATTAAATTTTTGTATTTACGCGCATACTTTTAATTAAAGTTGTGTTTATTCTTTTAAAAAAATATTAAGAATTGGAAGATTGATTTAAATAGAAGCTAAATAAAGCATTTCATAAAATTTGCAATTTTTATAAAAAGATATTAAAAAAAAAAAATTTTTTTTTAATTATTAATATACAGATGTAAATATAATATTGCATTATATTATATATATATGTATATGTATTTTTTTTTTCCTACTTTTAATTAACATTCTTCTTTTCTTCATTTATCATTCTCTTTTTTACAAATATTGAAAATGCCTCAGTGGGGTGCAGGTAATTCTAGAGCTATAGAAGCGAGACTCAGAAAAAAGTTAGAAAAAGACAGAAAACAAAAAGAAATTGAAGAAAAAAAATTGGAAGAGTACTGGAGAGATGATGACAAAAAAGTTCAAGCAAAAATACAAAGAAAAGTAATTTTTTTATATATTTAATAAGAATGATTTATTTGAAAAAAATTGTTATTTATTTTTTTATTTTATTATTTTTTTTTTTTTTTTAGACGGAAGCAGAAAATAAAAGGCAACAAAAACTAGATAGAAAAAAAGAATTAAGAGCTCTTTATGGAGAAGAAGAAAAATCTATGAAATCTAATAAAGAAAGTGTAATTATTTATATACCTTTATATTTCTAAAGAAAAAAAAAAAAAATAAAAAGACTTTTATACAAAAATATTATTATAAAATTTTATATTTTTTTATTAAATTATTATAATTTCTTAAAGTACTTAAAACATAAATTAATTTTTTTTTCTATTTAGAAAACAACTAATACAAAAGTTTCTCAAGCAGAAATCTTGCAAAGACTGATTGAAGAAAAAAAAAAGGAGCTGGAAGAAGAAAAAAAAAAAAAAGTTAAAAAAAATTAAGACATAAAAATATAGATAAAATAAAAATATAAAAAATTTAAATTAAAATATATTTTTTACTTTCACAAGTTATTATTATATGATATTTATTATTAATAAACCTATAATTGTTTTTTTTTTTTTTAGAATAATATAAATGTACATGAAATGGAACTAGAAGAAAATATAAACCACATACAAAGAAATGAAATGAATGATTATGATGAATATATAAATGGTAACAAAAAACAATTATTTTAAGTTTTACAATATTAAGTCTACTTTTGAACAATTTAAAATTTAAATATTAAAATTTTTTTTTCCTTTTTTTTTTTTTTTTTTTATAGCAACTGGGATTGATAATGCTATTTCAGCATTAGAGAATATATCTTTTGATAAAACTAAAAAAGTCAAAGTTGTAAGTTGAAAATATGTTAATTTTTTTTTTTATTTATTTAAGAAGTCTTACATGTTTTTATTAATTTTTTTTTAAGGCTTATAAAAAATTTGAAGAAGAAAATTTACCAATTGTTAAAGAAGAATATAAAGGATTAAAATTATCTCAGTATAAGCAGATATTATGGAAACAGGTATAGTTAAAAATTTGTATTAAGTATATTAATTTTTACTAATTGTTAAAAAAAAAAAATTTAAATAATTAAAATATAGATATCTTTATATTATACATATATTTTCTTTCTTTTCTTTAGTTCAAAAAATCTGTAGATAATCCACTGAATCAAAAAGATTAAAAGAAATTCAATGGAATGAATGAAAAAGAGAAATATATTATTTATCAATATCAATTTTTATTTTATTCTATTTCTATATTGTATTTTTTTTGTTTTTTTATTTAAAGAAAATATACTGATAAAAAAAAAAAAAGTTTTAATTGGAACTTACATATATATACATTTTCATATGTACTAGTTTGCTTAATTATTGATTTTTATATGCATTCACAGTTTATATTTTATTTTATTTTATTTTATTTTTTTTTTTTTTTTTTGAGTTATAATTTTTTATGAATTATAAATTTTTATGAAAAGTAAAAAGGAAAAATATTAACATAAAAAAATAATAAATATATTATTGAATTATATTAAGAAAAAATATAAAAAACATAAAAAGAAAAAAAAAAAAAAAAAAATGAAATAAAACGTTAAACACTGAAAAAAATTCTATAGGAATATTATTTTAATAAAATTAACACAATCAAAAAAAAAAAAAAAAAAAAAAAAAAAAAATATATATATATATCATTCAAAAAGTAATATGATATAATTAAATTATAATAAAATTAAAAAAGATTACAATATAAATATATCAAAGTTAAAATCCATTACTTATTAAAAAAAAAAGTAATACAATTATAATTATAACATAATTTAAAAATAGTTCATATTTAAAAGAAATAATAAAAGTGTTTAATTATTTGAATTAAAATCTCATAAAATAAATGTTTAAAAGTAAAGAATAATTTAAATAGAAGAGAGGATACTTAAATAAAAAAAAGAAAATAAAAAAGTATAAGGGGAGTTTATAATATCAAGATATAACATATTAATTGGAAAATTCTGTTTCATTTTATATACATATATTTACATTTTTATTTAAATGGAAAAGGTGTTATCTTCTATAGGAAAACTAAGTGTAGTTGCAGGTGGTTTAAGTTTAATTCCTTATACTTTTATTTATGATGTAGATGGAGGAGAAAGATGTGTTATGTTTAATCGTTTTGGAGGTGTAAGTGAAAAAACTTACGGAGAAGGAAGTCATTTTTATATTCCTTGGTTTCAAACTCCATATATTTATGATATAAAAATGAAACCAAAAGTCATTAACACAACTACAGGAACAAGAGATTTGCAAATTGTTACTATAAGTTTAAGATTATTATTTAGACCTCATACACAACATCTACCTTACTTGCATAGCACTCTTGGACCAGATTACGATGAAAGGGTTTTGCCATCTATTGGAAATGAAGTTCTAAAAGCTGTTGTTGCAAAATATAATGCAGAATCATTATTAACACAAAGAGATAAAATATCAAAAGAAATTAGAGAAAGTATTACAGCAAGGGCTAAACATTTTAACATTATGTTGGATGACGTAGCTATCACTCACTTGAGTTATGGAAAGGAATTTGCTAAAGCCATTGAAGATAAGCAAGTAGCACAACAAGAAAGTGAAAGAGTAAAATTTATTGTTGCAAAAACAGAACAAGAAAAAATTGCCGCAGTTATTAAAGCTCAAGGAGAAGCAGAAGCTGCTAAATTAATTTCTACAGCAGTTAAAGAATATGGTAATAGTTTATTAGAAATTAGAAAATTGGAAGCAGCTAAAGAAATAGCTGAAAATTTAAGTAAATCAAAAAATATTACATATTTTCCATCTAGTTCAAATATATTATTAAATACTAAAAATTTATAAAAAAAAAAAATAAAATATTGTGATGAATTAAAAATGAAAATTATTAATTATTACTATAATCATAAGCATAAGCATAAGCATAAGCATTTTGATCCATTTATCGATAAAATACTCTTTAAACTAAAATATATTATAAATTATGAAAAATTAAAAACATATTATAAAATTTTCATGAAGATACTTTTTAAAATTATTCATAGAATAAATCATAATATGTAAATGACACTTTTTATGAATTATATTCATGATGAATTTAAATATTACTGAAAGAAAGATGCTAGATTACCTTTAATAAAATTACACATTGTTATATTTTAATTACTATTTTATACCTTTAATTAATATAAGAAATATGTGAAATTTTTATTATATATATATCACTTTTGATATTTAATAAGTATATATTTTTGTTCGATTAAATGATAACAAGAAAAATTATTTTAAAAACAAGAATTTTTACTTTTTTTTTTTTTTATTATTAATCTTTGGAATAATAAACTTTTTAATACATTATTTTTTTTTTTTTACACAATATTAATTTTGAAATATTCTTATATAAATTTCATATATGTATTTTTAAGGTCTTATTATTACTTGTCACCTACGTTTCTAATCTTTAATATTCTATTTTTTTTAATTTAAATTGTTTTTTTTTTTTTTTTTTTTTTTTTTTTTTATTTATATTTTCAAAATAATATTTATTTAATATAATAAAACATTTTAAAGAATTTATTAATCGAAAAGCTGAAAAAAAAAAAAAAAAAAAAAAAATGTAATAAATGACATATTTATTCTACAAATATAAAATTATTTCTCTATATTATTTATTGATGATTGTAGAATTAATAAGAATAAGGAATTATAAAAATAAAATTTTTTTAAAATAATATATTTATATTGAAAAATATTTGGATGAAAGAAAAAATATGTATAGAATACTCTTTAAATATTACTTTTCGTAAAATTAATTTGAGTTCACAATATTTATAAATGATATGAAAACTAAAATAAAAAGATTATTTGAATTATAATAAGAAAGTAGGAATTGTTGGATGTTTTAAGATGCAATAATGTTTCAGAACATTTACAGTATTCACATATGCTTAGCATTATATATATTATTACGTGAATTTAAAAGAATTAGAATAATTTTCAAATAAATTTAATTAATTTATGTAGTTTTATATGATTAAAAAGAAAAAAAAAAAATCTAATATAAAATTAGAATTAGGAAATTATAATACGCCTATTATTGCGATTTTTTTTTTTTTTTTTTTTTTTTTTTTNTTTTTTTTTTTTTTTTTTTTTTTTTTGTAATATTAAATAAAATATATAATTATATATAAAAAATATAATATTCATATGCATATATTTAGTAAAATAATAAAAAATTATTATATTATTTCAAAAAATATTATGTTTCTAGAGAAATCTAAATTCCCTATGAGTTAAATTTTTTTTTTTAAGATAGCTAAGATTTTTAAAACATTTAGGATATATAAAATACACAATTTCATCTTTTTTTAACATAATTTTGTTTATTTTAATATTCATGAAAGAGATTTTACATACTCATTAAATAGTTTATGCCTCTTAAAAATATAGAAGTTTTAGATATACTTAAAGAATTTTGGCATTTTAAAAAAAAATTCAGTAATTAATAAAAAAAAGAGAAAATAAGGACTACGTTATATTAATTAATACTATTTAAAAATTAAAAAAAATATACGAAAGATGTTAAGAACATTTTGTTTATCTTATAATTTTCATCATGAAAGTGATATAGGAGATTATCTTATTTACAATTATTTTCATTACAGTTAATTTTTAAGAGATTATAATAATTTAGACTTATTCTATCATTATATATTTATTAAAATTTTCAATTAGAATATGAATTAAGTAAAGAAAAAAAAATAATGAATATAAATGCAATTTCAATAATATTTTTAGAGTATTATTGTGTTATCCTACGTCTATTTCATTATAAGAAATTATATAAGAACTCATTACGTTAAGAAATTATTTGAATTTGTAAAAATTTATTGAAATAACATTAATTTTTACTGTATCTTCATATAATGTTAATACAAGATGGTAAAAATTTTATAAAGTTTGAAAATGATAAAAAATATCATACTAATATATATAAAATATATGATCAATGTATAGTAGCAAGAAATTCATTAGAAAACTATTTTAATTATTTATATCATTACTTATTTACTAAAATTTTATTATGTGATATAAATGGTTTTATGTTAAACGTTAAAAAATTATATATAATATATGAATCATTTTATGATTTTATTAATGAAATAAAAAATATTTAAGAAAAAAAACTAATTTTTCATATATATTAGAAAAATGGGAATTTTGAAGAAATGAAGAAAATAAATTAAAAAAAAAAAATATGATAATACTTTATTTAATATCTTTTAATTGGAAGAAAATAATGAATCAAATAGTATGAATTTGTCTACCTTTACAAGAAAAAATTTTGATAAAAATTATAACTATAATGAAATTAATAAATTTAAGGAGGAAATATGTGTATATAGAAAAAAAGAAATTTAAATATTAGTAAACAACGAAAAATTCAATACAACTTGTGAAAAAGACAAAAAGTTATCTTAAATTTAGTAGTTTTATTTTAAAAAGTAAAAAGGAAATATGATCATAAATTACTTTATGAAAAAAATTTACTTTTTAAAATATGTAAAATATATATTAAGGAATCATAAATAATCATTATAAAAATTATTAAAAAAAAACATATAAACCCTTAATATTTAATATTATAAAAAATTAAAATGGATACTCCCAAAAAGCAAATATTTAATTATAAAAAATTATAATAAAAAAATGGGCATTATATGATCTATAGGAAAGTTGAATTTTACATTATTAATCAATTTTTTTGTAGTTATTCCTTCATTAATTAAATAATAACTAGACAAATAATATAATTTAAATATTTTATATGGAATTTAATTATCATAATTTCTTGTGACTAAAAAATATATAAGTCATGAAGTGAAGTTAAATTCTATAAAAATCTAAGAACATTTTAAAGAACATAATATATGTCATCACGTTATAATTTATTATGTAAGTTTTATATTTGATAAAATAATTTTATTTCTTTGAAAGAGATGAATGAAATTCATAATTTATATAATAAGTTTTTTTTTTTTTTTTTTTTATTCTTCCATTTAGATGAATTATTTTAAGGTAAATTAAAGACTTGCTAAAATATGTAGTTTTATTAACATCAATTTTATTCAACATTCGTTCACAATTATTTTATAAAATATGAAAAAAAAAAAAAAAAAAAAAATTCAAGAAATATTGAAATTTTTAAAATAAATTGTCATTATCTTCAAAATTAAATTATATGAAATTTCTGCTTTCTGAAGTAAATGCAAATGCTCACATAAATAATATTTTTGTAATAAATATATTTTTTAATATTAAATGCTTAATTTTAGATATATATTTTATTTTAAAAAATAAAAAATCCATATGTAAATTTAAATGAAATATATACGTTACTAAAGCTTTATTATTCAAAAAAATTAAAGGGAATACTGATTATGTTCTTTACATTGTATAAAAAAAATTCCCATAATTTCCTTTTTATAAAAACTTTATATATTCCATAATTTCTTTTAATTTATAATTTTACTTTTTAAACATGAAAATAATTTATAATTTTAAGCATTTTTCTTTATTTTGTCTTACCTTTTTCTTCCAACTTTTAATAATTGCTGTTAATGATACTTTTTTATTTTTTTATTTCGTCTATATATTTAAGATGGTTTTATATGTATTAAATTTTTTATATTAAGTCTTTTAATTGAGTTGTATTTTTTTTTTATTTAATAATTTAAAAATTCTCATTTAATACCACTTTAAAATTTTTATTTTATACTCTTTAAAAAAAAAAACTTTCACTACATGAAAAAAAAATTTTCAAAAATATATATTTATTCATATAATTGTTCAAGAAAACAACTTAAATATTCTTTTTAAAAAATTAAGATTAATAGATTTTTAAAAATTTTAAAACAATATAAAGTTTTAAAAATAGCAATGTGTTTAAGAAATTTTTATATACACAAATATATTTTCTTAAGTTATAATACAAAATAAAAAATGTAATTTCAAACATGTGCATTAAAAAAAAAAAAAAATAGCAGAATAAGGAGTTAAAAAAAAAAATTTTAAACAGTATCATATGTATATTTGTATTTTCATTAAAATTAAAAATGTAATTTTTTTTATAAAGTTTTTTTGATAAAATTTAAAAATAATTTTTATGTATAATAGGAAAAAAAAAAAAATTAATTTATGAATATAATTATTGAGAACTTGATATTTAAGGAAAAGTTTTTTAAAATAATAATAAATTATATATTTTTCAGGATTTGGATTTTCAAAAGATAAAATAAATAGTTATATATATATATATATATATAAATAAAAAAAAAAAAAACTAAAAAAAACATGATCTCTATAAATATTGAATCATACTTAGAAAGTAATTAAAAATAACATATAGATAAGAGAATTTTAAAAAAGTATTTCATTTTCATATGATTATTAAATTTTTTTTTTTTTTGTTAGATGAAATATTAGTAATAACGAATGACAGTAGAATTTTTACTGGAAAATTAAAAGGATTTGATCAAACAACAAATATAATACTTAGTAATTGTTTTGAAAGAATATATAAAGACTCATTAGAAAAAATTAGTCTAGGTTTATATATAATTAGAGGAGATACAGTGTAAATTAGAAAAATTATTTTTGTATTTAATTTTTTTTTTTATTTTGTTTTTCTTTTGTCAAAATACTTTGAAATATATTAACTATAATTTTACATAATATTTAGAACTATGTTTTTTTTATAAGTTTTGAATCTATATTTTTTTTTATAAAATTCTTTAAATATTCCTTTTTAGAACTTTAATTGGAGAGATTGACGAAGATGTAGATAAAAATATTTTACACGATAAAATTAAGCCTGAAATTTTAAAGCCAGTAAAATAAAAATAAAATAAAATATAGATTACATTCTTTTTTTTACTCTTTAACATATTAATTATATTATTATTATAAAAATGAGAAACTTGACGTTGCATTTTTATATTTTTCATAAAAAGATTGAATTGTAAATGCATACACTATTTAATTTCAATGGTTATTTTTTTTCATTTATTGAATTTCTTTTTTTTTTTTTTTTTAGATTGTGCACTAGTTTTTATTATATAAATATCACTATTTGTAAAAGTGTAATGAATTTTAAGGGAAAAGTTTAAATAGCATAATAAAATAATATTTTTAATAGTCTAAAAAAAATTTCTAAAAGCAAAAATAACTATTTATATTAATAGTAAATATAAAAAGAAAAAAGTAAAAATTTTATTATAAAATGGAGATTAAAAATGAAAAAAAAATGTAACAATTAACGATGGGATAATTAATTTTAATTATTTTACAGAAAAAAAAAAAATTTCAAAAATAGTTTAATTATACATAAAAATAATAAAGATACTTTTAAATATGATGGGAGTAAACATATATTACATAATTATGAAGAGAAAAAAAAATTAAGAAAAAGATAAAAAAAAAAAAAAAGAAAAGAAAAAAACAGGAAAAGAGAATAACATTTAAATTTATTTCACATATATGCACAAATTTCTTTAAAGTTTTTGTTTTGTTGTTTTGTTTATCTTTCTTATTTTTAATTGTTTTAAGTTTTCCTCATTTTTTTTTTTTTCATATTTATTATAGATTTTTCATATTTTATGTTTTTTAATAAAAAAATATTTTAACATACACATTATATTTAATAAAGGAGAATATACTACTGCGTAGATGTTAGAAAAATTTTTTGCAAAAATAATCATTTTTTTTTTTTTTTTTCAGTAAATATGAATTCAGATTATTAAATAAAATTCTAAAATTTAACTGTAATGACAAAATGTTAAACGTTTCTAACTATATTTATATTAAAAAAACAATTAATAACATATTTACATTCTTTTGTAACTTTATTTGCTTGGTGGATCATGGTCATATCTGAAATGTAAGTATTACCGAGTTCATCTTTCACCAAATCAATGGAATATTTTTGTAAATTGGATTTTTCGTTAAGAAAATTAATTAAGTCTACTGTATTTTTAATGTAATTTTTATTTTCATTACTATCTGTTACAGATAAATTTTTAGCTATAAAATTGTCTTCAGTAGCATTGTGCAAATGAAGTGAAGATTTTTCAGTTTTTGAAAAACAAGAAATTTTTATATTTTGTTTATCATTGATAGAATAAGTGTTGTCTTTTCCTTCTGAATTTTGTTCACATATTAATTTTTCTTTTTCGTCAATTTTTTTTATTCTATTTATGCAATAAGTAATTGCATATTCATCTTCTAAGGGTATATTATTATACCAAAAAATTGCAGATCCTTGAATTGGTTTAATAGATAAATTATAGTAAGGAAAAACTGTTTCTCCATCCTTATTAACATCATTTAAATAAATTAAAAGTGTTGCTCTTCTAAATGAGCCATCATGATGCAAATTAAAATAATTGTTTTCTTCATATTTAACTATTGCTAATGGTTCAAGATAACATAATGGTATTTTAACTAGATTACATATTGTATTTTCTAGTTCTATTATACTTTCGTCTTTTGTATATACGATCGAGCTGTCACATTCTATTTGATTTTCTTCTATTATTGAACGACTTCTTATAGTATATAAAAAAACAGTTGAACTTGTTCTATTTAATGAATTGGTTATTTTGTAATTTTCTTGTTTATCTGTTATATATCCAATTGATGTTTTGCTTTTTTTATATTTATTATTGCACAGTGATAATATTTTTTCTATTGTTCTCTTATCAACTACATTATAAATTATGCACATATTTTGAGGATTCAACTTAATTTTAAAAAATGTCTTTGTATTATCATCATTCGCTTTATTTTCGTCTATCTCATTATTTTCCATTTCGTTACTTAAGTACAAAAGATATGAAGAGTATTTTTTATAAAAATCAATGTTTTTTCCATTTATTACTTTTTTCACAATTGTTTGTATATCATCACTATATTTTATTTCATTATCATATAATGTAATACCGAATTCATCTTTTTCTTCTTGTATTTCATTACTTTGTAATATTTCACCTTTTTTTATGTATCTAAATTCTTCTTTATCATTTATTTCAATTTTTGTAGTTTTTTTGTTTTGATCACTGTAGTTATAATTATCATTTGAATTTTTGACAATTTTTTTTAATTCCATTTTTTTTCCAATTTTAATACAATTTTTCTTTTTTTTTTCGTTTCTTTTGGAGAATTTGTTTTGGGTTGCATATATTATTTTATTTAACTTACAACAAAAAAAAAAACTGTTTATTATTTTAATTTTTCCAGTTAAAATAAAATTTATATATGCTCTTTTTTTAGGTTGTATCTATTTTCTTTTTCTTTTTATAAATTACATTAAGAATATCTTTTTTATATATTCCTTTTTTTAGGTTATACCTATAAATCTCTTTTTTTTTATATATATAAATTATTTATTTTTTTATTAAATTTCATAGTTAATAACTTATTTTAAAGTATACTAAAAAAATTAGATATATCATCTGTTAGTTTAACAAAGTTACCATATATTTTTTTTTTTATTCTTTCGTTTTTTGTGCATACGCAATCATAAGCATGCATTAAAAAATCATTACTTACATTTTCTTTTGCGTTTTTCTCTGCATTGGAAAGTGCTCTTTTCTTAGCTAAGTTTTCATTCAATGTTACACGTTTACTACTCATAAGTTTTTTTATTTTTTCTTCTCTTTCTAATTTTTCATTGAATATATTTTTTTTTTCTTGTTTGTTTTTACTTTCTTTTTTTTCTCCATGTAAAATTTTGTTTATTACTCTTTCATGTAAAATTTCTTTTATCATTTCTTCGTTTAGTATTTCTTTTAATGTTTCCCCACTTAATATTTCTTTTATAATTTCTTTTAAATTTTCTCTTTTTACTTCTTTATTTATATTTTCATTTTTTTCTTCTTTAAAATTTTCTTCTTTTGAATTATTTATCTGTGTATCTTTTTTTTTTGTTTCTTCCATATTTTTTCTATTTAAATTTTCAAGTTTAATTATTTTTTTTTTCACCTCACATAAATTTTCTTTTAAATCTACTAATGTATGCAATTCTTTTTTTAATTTTTCCTTTGGTTTTTCTTTTTTTATACACTCCAAATTTGTTAGGTATAAATTTTTTTTTTCATTAATTTCCTTTTTTAAATTATTTGTTAATTTTTTTTTTAATTCTTCACATAAATTTTTTCCTATGACTTCTTTATTTGGGGATTCTTTTTCAGAAATCATAAAATTTTCTAAGTATTGTGTAATAATAGTTTCTTTTCCTATTTCTTCAATTAATTCTATATTTTTAATATCAGTGTAATTTTCTTTCTTTAAATCTTCTACTTTCATAAATTCTTTTTTTATTCTTCCTTTTAACTTATCTTTTTTTATTTCTTTTAAGTTATTTCTTTTCAAATCTTCTATCATCATAATTTCATTCTTTGTTCTTTCATTTAACTCATTTTTTTCCATTTCTTTTAAGTTATCTCTTTTAAAATCTTCTATCATCTTAATTTCTTTTTCTTTTTCTTCTTCTAATTCTTTTATTTCTTTTAAGTTATTTCTTTTCAAATCTTCTATCATCATAATTTCATTCTTTATTCTTTCCTTTAACTCATCTTTTTTCATTTCTTTTANATTTTTTTTAAGTCATCTCTATTCAAATCTTCTATCATCATAATTTCGTTCTTTGTTCTTTCCTTTAATTCATCTTTTTTCATTTCTTTTAAGTTATCTCTATTCAAATCTTCTATCATCATAATTTCGTTCTTTGTTCTTTCCTTTAATTCATCTTTTTTCATTTCTATTAAGTTATCTATTTTAAAATCTTCTATCATCATAATTTCTTTTTCCTTTTCTTCTATTAATTCTTTTATTATATTTTGTTTGTAAGTTTTTCTTTTTATGTCTTCTATCATCATAATTTCATTCTTTGTTCTTTCATTTAACTCATCTTTTTCCATTTCTTTTAAGTTATCTCTTTTAAAATCTTCTATCATCTTAATTTCTTTTTCTTTTTCTTCTTCTAATTCTTTTATTTCTTTTAAGTTATTTCTTTTCAAATCTTCTATCATCATAATTTCATTCTTTATTCTTTCCTTTAACTCATCTTTTTTCATTTCTTTTAAGTCATCTCTATTCAAATCTTCTATCATCATAATTTCGTTCTTTGTTCTTTCCTTTAATTCATCTTTTTTCATTTCTTTTAAGTTATCTCTATTCAAATCTTCTATCATCATAATTTCGTTCTTTGTTCTTTCCTTTAATTCATCTTTTTTCATTTCTATTAAGTTATCTATTTTAAAATCTTCTATCATCATAATTTCTTTTTCCTTTTCTTCTATTAATTCTTTTATTATATTTTGTTTGTAAGTTTTTCTTTTTATGTCTTCTATCATCATAATTTCATTCTTTGTTATTTCTTTTAACTCATCCTTTTTCATTTCTTTTAGGTTATTTCTTTTCACATCTTCTATCATCATAATTTCTTTTTCTTTTTCTTCTATTAAATCTTTCATTTTATTTTGTTTGTAAGTTTTTCTTTTTATGTTTTTTATCATCATAATTTCATTCTTTGTTCTTTCCTTTAACTCATCTTTTTTCATTTTTTTTAAGTTATCTCTTTTCAAATCTTCTATCATCATAATTTCTTTTNTCTATCATCATAACTTCTTTTTCTTTTTCTTCTTCTAATTCTTTTATTTCTTTTAAGTTATTTCTTTTTAAATCTTCTATCATCATAATTTCATTCTTTGTTCTTTCATTTAACTCATCTTTTTCTATTTCTTTTAAGTTATCTCTTTTCAAGTCTTCTATCATCATAACTTCTTTTTCTTTTTCTTCTTCTAATTCTTTTATTTCTTTTAAGTTATTTCTTTTCAAATCTTCTATCATCATAATTTCATTCTTTGTTCTTTCCTTTAACTCATCTTTTTTCATTTCTTTTAAGTTATCTATTTTAAAATCTTCTATCATCTTAATTTCATTCTTTATTATTTCGTTTAACTCACCTTTTTTCATTTTTTTTAAGCTATCTCTATTCAAATCTTCTATCATCATAATTTCTTTTTCTTTTTCTTTTATTAAATTTTTCATTTTATTTTGTTTGTAAGTTTTTCTTTTTATGTCTTTTATCATCATAATTTCTTTCTTTGTTATTTCTTTTAACTCATCCTTTTTCATTTCTTTTAGGTTATTTCTTTTCACATCTTCTATCATCATAATTTCATTCTTTATTCTTTCCTTTAACTCATCTTTTTTCATTTCTTTTAGGTTATTTCTTTTCAAATCTTCTATCATCATAATTTCTTTTTCTTTTTCTTCTTCTAATTCTTTTATTTTATTTTGTTTGTAAGTTTTTCTTTTTATGTATTTTATCATCATAATTTCTTTCTTTGTTATTTCTTTTAACTCATCCTTTTTCATTTCTTTTAGATTATTTCTTTTCACATCTTCTATCATCATAATTTCATTCTTTATTCTTTCCTTTAACTCATCCTTTTTCATTTCTATTAAGTTATCTATTTTAAAATCTTCTATCATCATAATTTCTTTTTCCTTTTCTTCTATTAATTCTTTTATTATATTTTGTTTGTAAGTTTTTCTTTTTATGTCTTCTATCATCATAATTTCATTCTTTGTTATTTCTTTTAACTCATCCTTTTTCATTTTTTTTAAGTTATATATTTTCAAATCTTCTATCATCATAACTTCTTTTTCTTTTTCTTCTTCTTCTTCTTCTAATTCTTTTATTTCTTTTAAGTTATTACTTTTCAAATCTTCTATCATCATAATTTCGTTATTTGTTCTTTCCTTTAACTCATCCTTTTTTATTTTTTTTAAGCTATCTCTATTCAAATCTTCTATCATCATAATTTCATTCTTTGTTCTTTCCTTTAACTGATCTTTTTTCATTTCTACTAAGTTATCTATTTTAAAATCTTCTATCATCATAATTTCTTTCTTTGCTCTTTCATTTAACTCATCATTTTTCATTTCTTTGAAGTTATCTATTTTAAAATCTTCTATCATCATAATTTCATTCTTTATTCTTTCCTTTAACTGATCTTTTTTCATTTTTTTTAAGTCATCTCTATTCAAATCTTCTATCATCATAATTTCGTTCTTTGTTCTTTCCTTTAATTCATCTTTTTTCATTTCTATTAAATTATCTATTTTAAAATCTTCTATCATCTTAATTTCTTTTTCTTTTTCTTCTTCTAATTCTTTTATTTCTTTTAAGTTATTTCTTTTCAAATCTTCTATCATCACAATATCTTTCTTTGTTCTATTTTTTAACTCATCTTTTTTTATTTCTTTTAAGTTACCTATTTCCAAATCTTCTATCGTCATTATTTGTTTTTTTATTTCTTTTTTCATTTCATTAATTAATTCTTCATTTTTTATTTTTTTGTAATTTTCTTTCTTTAAGTCTTTTATCGTAATGACTCCCTTTTCTTTTTCTTCTTTTAACTTATGTATTTTATGTTTTCCTTCTTTTATTCTTAAACTTTTAGTAATAAAAACTTTTTCTGGTTTTTTTTTTAATTTTTCTTTTTTTATATCTTTTGATTTTTTCCTCTTAATGTTTGCTTTCGTGAAAATTTTTTTTTTTATAATCTCGTTTAATCCTTTATTTTTTATTCTTCCGTAATATTCTACATTTATATATTCTATCGCCTTAATTTTTTCTTTTAATTTTTTGCTAAATTCTACTATTTTTATTTCTTTTAGATTTTTTTTTAAATCTTCAGTCAACATCATTTCTCTTTTCACGTTTTTAACTTTTATTTTTAAGTCTTTTAGCATAAAACCATCATTTCTTAGTTCTTTAAAATTCTCATTTTTTACCATCATTTCTCTATTATTTTCATTTGAATTTTTTTTGAAAAATTTTTTTTTTGTTATTTCTTTCTTTATTTTTTTTTTTAAATTTTCTTCTAAATACTCTTTAAAGCTTTCTTTTTTTAAATATGTTATCGTAGTTTTTTCATTTTTCATTTCATTCAAGTTTTGTTTTGTTAAACCTTTTATTGTAAACATATCATTTCCAATTAGATATATAGTATTTTCCTTGTTTATTTTTTTAATGTTTTCTTTTAAGTCTTCTATCATAAAAGTTTCCTTTTTAACATCTTTTAAATATTCTTCTACTCTATTTTTATTAATTATTAATTCTTTTTTCATTTCTTTGAAGTGCTCTTTTATTGAGAGTTCTCTTATTATGATTCCTTTTTTGATTTCATTAAGGTTTTCTTTCTTAATTACTTTTAAGTGGTTATTTTTTAGATCTTCTATCATAAAAATTTCTTCTTTAACATCTTTTAAATTTTTTACTTTTGAATATTTTTTCATTGTTTTTTCTTTTTTCATTTCTTTGAAATGCTCTTTTATTAAGTATTCTATTACTATAATTTCTTTTTTAATTTCATTAAAGTCTTCTTTCTTTGTTACTTCTAGGTCTTCCTTTTTTAGATCTTCTATCATAAAAATTTGTTTTTTTCTTTCATAGTTTAATAATTCTTTTTTCAAGTATAGTTTTTTTGAATCTTCTATTATCCTTATTTCATTAATCTTTCCTTTATTTAATGATTCATTTTTTAAGTTTTTCATATTTTTCATTTTAGAATTTTTTATCATTAAAATTTCTTTCTTAAACTTTTTTAAATTTACCCTTTTTAAGCTTTCTATCATTGTTGTTTTTTCTGTGAATTCTTTAAATTTTTTATTTATAAAATATATTATTAGAATACTTTCTTTTTTCATTTCATCACTTAAGTTTTTCTTGAAACAATTTTTCAGATTTTCTTTTAAATTTTTTAATATAATTATTTCTTGTTTTTCTTTTTTCAAAGTTTTATTTATTAGACTTTCCATTATCATTATTTTTTTTTTATATTCTAAATTTTCACTTTTTAAATATTTTACCATTAGTATATTCTTTTTTATTTCCATGTATGAACTTCTTTTTTTTAAAATGTTTACTAATATTAATTCCTTTTTCATTTCTTTTGAAGTATCTTTTTTTAGATACTTTTTAATTATTTTTTCATTTCTCATTGCATTTAAAATACATTTTTTTTCTTTCTTAAAATTTTCTTTTTTGAAATAATTTATAATTAGTATTATCTCTTTTATTACATTGCTTAATTTTTTTTTTTTCATTTTATTTAACTCTTTTATTATTAAACATTTTATAACTATTATCATTCTTTTTATGCTAACACATCCTTTTTTCAAATATTCAATTATTATTATTATTTTTTGAAAATTTTTCATAATTTTTTCTTTTTTTACAATTTTTGCTATCACAATTTTCTTTTTTAAATCTTTATTCTTTAATTCTTTTTTAATCTCTTTCGATTTTTCTTTTTTTACATTTTTTATTATAATTATTTCTATTTCTAAATATGTAGACAAAATAAATTTTTTGCCTCTACCTAATACAATAAATTCTTCTTTTAAATATCTAGTAATCATTATACACCTTTTTTTTTCTTTCCATATATCTTTTTTTAAATCTTTTATGATCATTAATTCTTTTTTTATTACTTTTAAGTTTCCTATTGTTAAATAACTAAATTTTACCATTTTTTTTTCCGTTATCTCACCTAACCTTTCTTGTTTTAAATTCCCTAAATTTTCTATTACGAAATATCTTTTCATCGTTGTTTCATTTTTTTCTATTTTTCTTAAATTTCCTACACTTAATTTCTCATACAAATATTCTCTTATTATATTTGCATTTAGAATTTCTTTTGATATAAAGATGAAACTTTTTTTTAAAAATTCCTTATGAATATCTTTATTCATTTCATTTGAATATACTTCACATATTCCTCTATTTACATTTTCTCTTACTATATAATGGATCAAATATTTTTTAATAGTGTCTTTACTTATAATATTTTTTTTTATTTTTACTATTTTATTTAAATTATGTATTTTATTTTTTTCTCTAAATTTTAAGCAAATAGGATATTTTTTTCCACATTGAGATGTGAATATAGCATGTTTTTTTATTTTTGAAATTGTCTTAATGGTTTTTGAATATTTTTTATTATTAGTTATTTCTTGGGCATTTGAATATGATTCTTTTATCAAAGATTCAGAAATGCCACTTTCATTCTTCATTTTAAGGTTTTTCTTATGGTTTTTTTCTGAATTCATTATATTATTTGTCAGGGTTATTTTTCCATCAATTTTACTTCTTATTATTTCACTTTGTAATTTCAATATTTTTAGCTTTATCTTATTCTTTATATTTCGAAGAATTCTTTTTTTTCTTAATTTATCGATGTTTTTTTTTAGTTTAAATTCAGTTTGTTCTCTTTTTATTCTTTTATTTTCAAAAATTTTTATTTCTTTTTTAATTGTTTCCTTCATTTCTTCAAAATTATTTATAATATTTTTTTGTTCAAATAAAATTTTCGAGTTTATCTCATTCATTGTATTTTTAGTGCAATTTAGCATTTTTGTTCCTAATATGTCTGATCCGCTAATTAATATGCTATTATTTTTTATATCGTAGAAGTAAATGGTACTTTTAGAAAAACTTGAATTATAATAACTATTTTTATTTTGTTTACTTGAGAAATAAATTGTAGAAGCTATTGAATCTTTTGATTCATTAATACTATCCTTATCTATTTTAGTAGAGTAATAATTATCTATTCTCTTTACATTTTGACTTTTATTATTTATATATTTATTAATTAATATTCCAGAGCTAGTAAATTTTTTCAAATAAGTTCTATCTTTTTTATTGTTTTTTAAAATTAAATTTAAAGAATTATTTGAAATAGGTATTTTTTTTTCTTCTATTTCATAAAATTTTGATTGATCTTCTTTGTTAGCTTTTTCCTTGATATTTCCAATATTTGGAGTATGAATTTTATTTGTAAAATTTTCATTACTGTTAGTTTTTACCTTTTTGTTTTCTACTTTTTTTACTTGCAAATTTTTATATTTTTTAATGTCCTTTTGAAAATAAGAATTTTCTGTAGCTTTCGTTTTATCTTTACTTTTATTATTACTATCTTTTACCAGAAATTTCTGAATTTCAGTTTTACTGCTATCTTTTTTAACTAATTCACGTAATGAATTTTCTTGATTTTTTTTCTTTTTATATTCATTGTTATTTTTTTTTTTCGATAATATTTTGTTTGTATATTGGAATTTTTTATTTGAATTATGTATCGATGATTCAAATTGATTCATAAATGTTTTTTTAAAGGAACTAAAATTTTTATTATTATTAACACATTTCTTATCTTTATACAATATATCTTTGAGTTTATTTTCTACCTCATATTCCTTTAAATATATTTTTATTTTTCCAAATGGTTTGTCCTTATTTTCACTTTTACTAGATTTTATCAAACATTTTTCAATGTTAGTTCTGTTATCACTTTTATTGGTTAATTTATGCGTCAAACTTTCTTGACTTTTAATTTTTTTTAATTTTTGTACATTACTTTTATTTATTTGCAATTTATTTATATTAATTAAATTTTTACTATTATTGTTTATAGGAGATGATATAAATCCTGGACATCCTCTGTTTATGTTACTATTCGTTTCATTTTTTCTATTTTTGTTATGATTATTATCCTTTTTAAATATGCTAACTTTATTAATTTCATTCTTTTTTTCGTATTTTTTTATTGTTATTTTTTCATCTGTTTTTATTTTTTTACTTCTTATATAGCTTTTTTCATTACTTTTAATTCTCACTGAGTTTTCACTTTTAGCAGACATATACAAAAAATTCTTAATTTTAGCTTTATTATTACCCTTGTTTATTAATTCATATAGTAAACTTTCTTGATTTCTACCCTTTTTGTTTTGTTGCGTGTTTTTTTCAATAATATGTATTTTATTTATATTTGATATTTCATTACTATAATTATTTATTGGAAGTAATCTAAAGCTTGAATGTTCTCCCTTAATCCTATTTATAATTTTATTTTTTCTTTCCTTATAAATATTATTGATCTTTTTGATTGTATTACCTTTTTTAATTTCATTTTTTATTTTTTTTGTTTTTAATAACTTCTTTTTATCTATTTTTACTTTGCTACTTTTAAAATATTTATCTTTCTTATTCTTATTTTCTTCTATTCTTGTATTTTTATCTGAAAACTCTAAAAATTTTTTAATTTTATTTCTATTATCATCTTTATTGATTAATTCATAAAGTAAATGCTCTTGACATTTACTTTTTTTGAAGTTTTGCGGATTATTTTCATTTAATTGTGCATTATTTATATTGATTAATTCGTTACTAGAATTATATACTGTTGATTGTATAAATCTTGAACATTTTCTGTTTGTACTATTAATATTTTCATTTTTTTTAATTTTACAAAAATTATTATCCCCTTCAAATATATCATTTTTTTTAATTTTATTTTCTTTTATACAGTTTCTCAATATTTTTTTTTCATCTTGCTTAATTTTATTAATTCTTAAATATTTGTCTTGTTTATCTATAATTTTTTTTGTTTCTTCACTTTTATTAGATATATTTAAGAAATTTTTAATTTTAGTTCTATTATTATCCTTATTTATTAATTCATATAGTAAACTTTCTTGATTTCTAATTTTTTTAAATTTTTGCGTGTTCTCTTTATTTACTTGTGTTTTATTTAAATTAATTAATTCATTACTATATTTATTTATATGTGATGATATAAATTTTGTGTTTTTTCTCTTAACATTAATATCGTTATTTTCATTTTTTCTGTTTTTATCATAATTACTGTCTACCTTTGATAGATTGCCTTTATTAATTTCATTTTTTTTTTCACTGTTTTTTAGTAATTCCTTTTTATTTGTTTTTACTTTGCTATTTTTTAAATATTTATCTTTCTTATTGTTAATTTCTTCTGTGCTTGTACTTTTATCTGAAAACTCTAAATATTTTTTAATTTTATTTCTATTATCATCTTTATTGATTAATTCATAAAGTAAATGCTCTTGACATTCACTTTTCTTGAAGTTTTCTATATTTTTTTTATTTAATTGTGCATTATTTATATTGATTAATTCGTTACTAGAATTATATACTGTTGATGGTATAAATTTTGAACATTTTCTGTTTGTACTATTAATTTTTTCATTTTTTTTATTTTTACAAAAATTATTATCCCCTTCAAATGTATCATTTTTTTTAATTTCATTTTCTTTTATACAGTTTCTCAGTATTTTTTTTTCATCTTGCTTAATTTTATTAATTCTTAAATATTTGTCATGTTTATCTATAATTTTTTTTGTTTCTTCACTTTTATTAGATATATTTAAGAAATTTTTAATTTTAGTTCTATTATTATCCTTATTTATTAATTCATATAGTAAACTTTCTTGATTTCTAATTTTTTTAAATTTTTGCGTGTTCTTTTTATTTACTTGTGTTTTATTTAAACTAATTAATTCATTACTAGATTTATTTATAGGTGATATAAATTTTGTGTTTTTTCTCTTAACATTAATATCGTTATTTTCATTTTTTCTGTTTTTATCAGAATTACTATTCACCTCTAATAGATCACCTTTGTTAACTTCATTTTTTTTTTCATACTTTTTTAATAATATCTTTTCATCTTTTTTAATTTTATTACTTTTTAAATATTTGTTTTGTTTATTTTTAATTTTTTTTGTTTCTTCACTTTTATTAGATATATTTAAGAAATTTTGAATTTTAGTTCTATTATTACCTTTATTAATTAATTCATATAACAAGCATTCTTGACTTTCAATTTGTTTGTATTCTTGCACGTTTTTTTCATTTATTTTTATTTCATATATATTAATAAGTTTTTTATTTGACTCAGTTAAAGATGATGAAGATAAACATTCATATTTTCTCTTTAAACTGTTGTTTTTTTGATTTTTCACATAAAAATCTTTTTTAATAATTATATTTTTGTTAATATTATTTTTATTCATTTTTTCGCATTTATTTAATATATATTTTGACTGGTTATTAATTTCTGTTTTTGAAAAAATAATATTATTTTCTTTACGAATTGTTTTATTGGGATATGTTTTTCTAGATATATTCAACAATTCCGAAACGTTTTTACTTTTTAGTAGACATTTTTTACTTTCAGCAAAATTAGTAATTAATAGATTAAATTTTTTTTTTGACATGCTATTATTTTTTTTGTCTTCGCAAATTTTACTATTCATTTTTGTGTTAAAACAATATGACGATTTAATTTCTTTGGATTTATATATATTTAACTTTGTATTAATATCATAAATTTTGTTCATTTTAATGGAATTCATTTTTTTTAAATTTTCGTTTTTTGTTGTTACATTTACTTCTTTTGACTTAATTGATCGATTCATATTACCTACTACTTTTTCTGAATTTAGACTTTTTTCTTTGTTGTCTTTATTGGTATAAAATATATTTTTTTTTTCTTTTATTATTTTCTCTTGATCTGATTGATTAAATATATTAATAACACATGATTTTTTAGTATTATTATTCACACTACTTTGGTTTACTCCTGTTATATGATTATTTAAAATGTATTTTCTTAAATTGTAACTATTGACATTCTGAAAGTAATAACATTTATTCCCATATTTTTTTACATGAACTCTTTTAATATTAGAAACTGGTTCATCATTAAATATCTTATTATAATTACAAATAACTGATTTTCTTGATAGAGGAATATTTATACCCTTATTTGATTTAAATAAAAAACTAGATTGTTCCCTTAAGTTATTAATGTCTTGTAATGATACTTTACATTTATCTTCATTATTTATTTTTTTTTCAATAAGAAAATTTGATTTGGCTTGTAGATTAATATTTTTTTTTACTTTTATACATTTACTATTGTCAACTTCACTTTGGTGTATTATGTTTCTATTTTTTGTCATTTTTGGAGTATTAATTGCTATAACACTTTTACTATTAAAATTTTCTTCTTGAATTGAAGGTGAATTACTTTTTTCTCCATTCGAATTTAAATTGCATTTAATATATTTATGATGTATTGAATATTCTTTTGTGTTAATTTTTTTTTTAGCAATATTTAGACATTTTTTTTCCTGATGATAATCACCATTTTTATCTGTTGGTGTTCTATAAATACTTGTAATGTTATTTATTTGTGATTTAATTTGTTGTCTATTATTAAATTTGTACATAAATGAACTTTTAAGGATAGAGAAGGAAGAAAAATTATTATGTTTTTCATTATATATTGCTTTTAATGGTGGTGCATTATTTAAAGCATTTTCGATATCCACTGTATTATTACTTAAAATATGTCTATATTTTAATGTGTTACTATTTATGTTACTTTTACTTTTTATTTTGCTGTCATTAAATTTGTTTTTATTATATAGAATTTTATTTGTCAATATATTATTAATGTTATAAATATTTTTATTCATTATAAATATATTTTCACATTTAACACTTTTATTACTGTATTTTTCTCTATTTAATGTATTTTCATTACATTCAGTGGTTATCTTTTCTTTTTTCAGGTTAAAATTAATTTTTGTATAATTAATATTTTGTTGTGGTATTAGATATTTTAATGTTTTGTGATTTTCTTTATAATTCTTATTCATTTTTGTAATATTTTTTCTATTCATTGTGTTTCTAATACACGTTATATTTTTATTTTCTTTTTTTAATTTGCTTAGACTATTATAATTAGCATCTTTAATATTTTTAAATCCCTTTAAATCTTTTAATATATTTTCCTTTCTATATTTTTTTGACTTTTCATTTTCTTTTTTAAAAAGAGAGTTTATATGACTTAGATTAAAATCTTTTTTAATATGTGAGATATTTCTTTTATTATTGTTCTTATTATCTGGTTCATAAATGAGATTATTTTCTCCTTTCTTATTTCCTATATCTTTTTTAATTTCTTTTTTATTTTTAAATTTTATTTTAGGAATTTTCATGTTATTTTCTTCTAAATATTTATCAAAAATATTGAATGTATTATTAATTGGATTATTTTTATTTTTGCATGCTGTATTATTATAGTCTATTATATATGTATTAGTTTCACAATTACTATCTACAAAACCTTTTTCCTCTTCTGATGAATTGCTTAATGTATTTGTTTTACTGTGAGGAATATTTTCAAAATTTTCTATAGTTAAATCTTTATTACTATCTTCACTTTTTTTAAAATTATTCATTGGCGTGTTTGAATGAAGATTATTGCTTTGTATTCTATCTTTCTTACACATCTTATCATTAATATTTTCTATAGATTCATTGCATTTAGTATGAGAATATTCGTTTATTTTTTGCTTATTATCTATATTATTATTATTGTTTATCTTACATAAATATGATAAATTATGTAGTTTATTTAAATTTCTTTTGCAATTATTTTTTGGAATGTTAGTAATATTTACCATTTCTATATCATTGTATATGTTTGTATCATTTTCTTTGTAACTGAAAATTTTTGAGTTAATTTTTTTATATTTGTGATATTTATTACATTCTTCTCTAAAAATATTGTGAGGAAATATTTTTAGGTTTAAATGTTCGTACTTATTATGTTCATCATAATTAATAGAGTTAAAGTATCTAATTTTGTCACTGTTACATGCATTTATGAAAGTTGTACTTTCGCTTATGTTTTTACCATTTAAATTTTCGTTAACATGATACTTATTCACATTATTACATGCAGAACTATTATTTATTCTCCTATTTACATATGACTTTTTATTCTTATTAACGTATATTTTTTCTTCGAACTTACTAAGATTTAACTTAATGAATTTAAAATTTTTATCAATATAATGAGTTGTAACAATATCATTATTAGATGACATAATATTATTATTAGAAAAATTTATTTCATTATTTTGTGTTCTATAATTAGAACATACTATTTCACTGATTATATTTTTATCTAAACCATAATCATTCTTATTACTGTTTTTATCACAGTTAATTAATTTGATTTCATTTTGAATTTCATCCTTATTTTTTGAATAAATACATTTTTTATTAGTATAATAACATATTAAATTATTTTTTAAATTAGTTTCATATGGATATTTTGAATTAAAGTTTATATTCTTATTGTTCTTCACAGTATTATTATTGATGATTTTATGACTGAAATTAAATTGTTTGTAGTTAACACTTTCAAAATTTTTATCTTTTGATTTATCATAATTATTTATGCACAAGTTTTTGTAACTCTCTTTAGGGTTTTTGTAAAAATTTAATGGAATAGAGGAAGAATATAATTTTTCTTTTTTTATTTTTGAATTTATTCTATTTTTTAAGATGGTATTACATTTATATAATTTTTTCGTAATATTTTTTATAATGTCATGTTTTTTAACTTTGTTATTTTTCTTTTTTTTATCTACTTTATTATCTTCATGTATGTATTTTACTTTCACATATGTGCTTAGGTTATTTAGTGAAACATTCTTTTTTTTTGCATGTTTAATTTTCATATTTGACCAATTCTTAAGAGCAGATATTTCTTTTTTTTTCTTATTTTATAGAGATGCATCATTTTTCATTTTTATACTAAAAATAGTCTAATTTTTCAAAAAAAAAGAGCACGATAGACATTTTTAATAAAAAATTATAAATGTTAAGGATAAATCTTATTTATAAACATTAAAAAAATTAACAAACAGAATAAAGAAAAAAATAAATAATATGTATACACATGCTAGAAAAATTAATAATAAAATGAAGAAAAACTCAATTAATAATGTATATTTATTAGTAAAGTTGATGATAAATTATATATAAAAAACGTAGAAGATGTATATCCGTAATAATCCATATAAAAAAAAGAGAAGACAAAAAAAATTATTTTCATATAATGATAATCAAGTTAACAAAAAAAAAAAAAAAAAATATATTAGAAAAATACTAATATAACAAAAGGAGCTTTAATTGTTGTAGTAAAATTTTAATTATATATTTTCTTCTTATAATATTAGCAAATAGCAGCTTTAAATAAATAATGTTAGTTTAGCAGAAACATAAAGTACTTCACTAGAAGCCATAAAAAAAAGTTTCGTAATGAGAAGAAAATGAAAAACAAGTTTCTATATAAATTCTTTAAAGAAGAATTTAATATGAAGATAAATATATATTGGTAATGTTTTATGTTTGAGTATATATGTACATAAATAGTTAACAAAGCATTCATACTACTGGTAATGATACATTTTAAATGAAGATACATAACATATAAAATTTGTGATCAAAATATATATAATTAATTCTAATATTTTAAGAAGTTACGTTAATATAAGAAAATATATTAATTAATTCAATTATTATATTTAAAAAATAAATATAGTGTAAAAAAAAATTTAAAAAAATGATAATAAATAAAAAAAATATATATTTTATTGAAATAATTTATAAAAATAATATATTAATTCTATAAGATCACTACAAAAGTAAGTAACCATGATATGAGCATAAATAAAAAATTTTAAGCCTTAGTATAAGAAAACATATTATGTTCTTTAAATAAATGTATTTTAAATTATAAAAAGAAAAATTAAGTATACATATATTTTTTATACTAAGAATTATTAATAAAAACTATTTTTATTAATTAAAAAGAGAACTAATTCAATTCATTTTAAAGGAAAATATTCATTATTATAAAAATTCATTCAATTATAATGTTAACAATGTAAATTTTTAAAAAAAAAAAAACTTTTTATCTTGTGCAATTGAGGTGCTGTTTAGTATATTTATTTCTGGAAATATAATCAAAGAAATACAGCATTTTTAAACTTTTATTCACGAAAATATGCATACACATTTATATATTTATTTATTGTAGTATATATTTTATTTTGAAGAAAAATAAGGAATATGCAATTGTTGTAAAATTAAATATGAAGTTCTTAGATATTTATAATTAATAGTGAGATATATTACATGATATTCTATTTATTTATAAATACATGGAGTGTTTTAAATTTGTATTGTTAGTGAGAGCGAAATTAATGTATTGAATTAAAATCTTTTTATTTATTAATAGAAAAGAAATAGAAATAAAAATGAGAGATTTACATGTGCACATACTTGAAATTATCTCTAAATATTTAGTTAAATTTTTTACTTTTTATTTGAAATAGCATTTTTTAGTGTGAATTACCTTAATTTTTATTTTTTCAAAATGAAAAATGCAATACATAAAATAAAAATAGTGATTGTTAAGTGTCTCTGAGTGGATAAAATAAAAAGTAAAAAAGTTTTAAATTCTCAAAAGGCATTAAATTTTCATATATTCATTAATTATATATCTTCTGAATAATATATAAGCATATACGTATAGTGAAGAAATTATAAATAATTTTTAAGTAATAGAATTAATAAATGACTATATGCTGAAAGAAAAAATAAGAAAGATTTTTACTTTGTATATCTTATTTAGCTTCTATAAAAATACCATAAAATATTAATTCTTATTTTTAGATTTAATATAAATTTCTAAAATTCTTATTTATGATTATAATAAATGAAAAAGATATTTTATTATCTCTAGGAGTATTTAAAAAAAGTCATGATTTATATAATCCTTTTTTAAATACAGAATATTAAAGAGAAAATAGTTTTTTTTTATTTATAATTCAAAATTTTACAAAAGAAAAAATCTAAATGTTATATATTTTATAGAAATAAAAATTTAGAACAAAAATATTATACATTTTTGAAGTAATTTATATTTTATATCTACGTTAATACTATCGTTATATGAAATTCACACTAAGAAAATAAGTGAAACGTGTACACAAAATGATACAACAAACAAATAAATAAAAATAAAAACATAAGAATCCTATTTTGCAAATTCAATTGTTTGTAATATTATTTTTGTTAATCTATGAAATATATTATAAAAATAAAATAGGCTTTTACTGGATTTATAGATTATAATTATTTTCTTTTTTATATATATGAATAATCCATTAACAAATTTTTATTTTTCATTTTTCTTATTTCAAAAGTAATATTATTTATATATTTTTTGTGATTTTGATATATATCATAGAAAAATTATATATATGTAAATGAGTTAAAAAATAGAATAAATAAAAAATAATAGATCTTATAAATCTATACATAAATTATAGAAGTACGCAAAATAAGAGAATAATATGAACTATCAATCTATTTAGAATTTGATCTATTATGATAAAATTTATTATTAAAAAATATATATATATTTTTTTTTTTCTGGATTATCATTTTTTGCTTGAATCTTTTTTTCTTTTGTTTTGGATTATTTTAAATTTTATTTTATGCATTATTTATTCTTTAACTTAAAAATAAAAAAATAATCGTTTTTATTTTTTGGGAAATGAATGATAATTAGTCTTCTAAAGATTAAAAATTATGTAGGAAAAAATTTATAATAATAAAAATATATCGTAATGTCTCATGAAATATCGAAATAAAATATTTCTATTAAAAGCAATGCATTTTTACACCATTTTAATTGTTAAATTTTTGGTGGTTAACAGAATGTATTATTAATATATATATATTCTGAATTTATTACATAATAAAAATTAATTAATGAATTATGTACTCATGATATTTAGAAGGATTCATAACAATCCACATAAAATTATATCCATCTGATTCATTAATTGCCTATTCAATGATTTTGCTAGTATTGAACAAACAAATTAATAAAGAATATGTATAAAAAATTCTATTTATTTCATTTTTATTAAATTAAAATCATAATGAAAAAATTCATCTTCATTAATTAGTATTAAATATTAATTATATCACTTAATTTCTATTGTTAATTTACATAAAATCCCACATACATCACCTTATACCTCACGTTTTTAATCTTTCATAAAAAAAAAATTCTCAATATCATAGTCCTCAAAAAAAAAAATAATTATAATAAAAAAAATCATTATCTTAAAAAAAATTTATAACTTTTTTAGGACTGTGTCATAATAAAAAAAAAACATTTTTTTTTTTATATAATTGTTAGTATACAATAAAAAAAAGATATAACAAAATATATTTACATTTTTTTTAGTGTATTTACCTTTAGTGAGAGTAATTTTTTTTTTTTTTTTTTTTTTGTGTACACATTTATTTGTGCACATTTTCCCGCATTTTAACATGCATAAATAAAAATATCTTTACTCATTTTATTTAAGTATTATTTAAAATAGGTTAATAATAAATGTTTATATACCATAATATGAATGACTTAGTTTTTTATAACTGATAATACTTTTTCTAAATCAATAGAAAAATATGGTTAAAAATAATACTTAAAATAAAATATTTTATCTTATATATAAATGACACACATTTATTTACAAAAAGTGGTTTTATAGTAAATAAAATAATTAGAGATTCTTCTACTTTATCTTAATTAATTTAACTTTCATATACACTATCAAATTAATTTAACAAATTAATAAATCAAATAATACTAGAATCTTGTAAATTAGTTTAGGTGTTAAAAATATTATGAATATTATAAATATTGACTTAATATAATTTTAATTAAAATATTATAAATACCATATAAAATAAGGTTCTTATTTAATGCTATATAATATAATTATATAAGATTATATATTGTTGAATTACTATTTGTGTGCTCATATGATTTTGTACTATATTGAACAGTTTAATTAATAATAAAAATGTAGATTGTTCTCTATGAATTTTATTTATTGCAAAGTTCCTCATTAATAATAATATATATAAATTATATTTTATATTATATAATATGAATTAAATAACTTGTTTCTTTATAAAATTTACAATGCTCACAAATAAAATATATTTATATAATATTAATTTATTAGAAACACACTAAATTTATGGGGATTAATTCGTAATGCTAAATAAAAAATTTTATTTATTTTTATAAAATATATTCTAATGTAAAAATTTAATCTTGCGCTTATTAATTTAACTCCTCATAAAAAAAAAATAACCTACTATTGAAAAAATAAAATTGTAAAAGTTAATGATTTTTTTTTTTTGTTTGTTCTCATTTTTGTGATGCATAACATATAAACATTATGTTTTTTAATGTATTCTATTTATTATAAACAACTATCAAATATCTTGATTGCAAACTAAACACTTATATTTAATCTTATTGAAAAATAATAAAGGTTAATAATACTCTTTACTGAAAATTTTGCTAAAATAAGTAATTTTGTAAAAGATAAAAATATAAAATATAATGTTACATTCTATTTCTTAAATTGTTCAATGAAATACGAAGATCCTTGAGAAGTCAGTAAATTAACTGGAAAAGAAAACAATGAATAGATGATAAATTTACAAAAATTGTAACTGTTATATTTGAGAGTTATTATATGTAAATAAATGCTTATTAATTGTACAAAAATTATATAATTTATAATATTTATAATTATTAAATTAATAAGAATTATAATTTTAATTAAGTAGTATTAAAATAATAAAATTACATATTAAATTATAAGGAGCAATATATGTAATAGTATTGTCATTATAAAATCTTCATAAATTTAAAATTTTTAATTATAATACTAATGATAATATATATAAATATAACATAATAGAAGTAAAATGCAATTTTTTTTTTTTTTTAAATTAATATACATATCTTTAAAGAAATAGTTCAATCTATATAACATCTGTAATTCCTTCTTTAAAACTTATATCAATATTTTTATAAATCATAATTTGTATTTTATTTTACATAAACCAATAAATATAATAGAATTATCTTATAATTTACACAAAATATAAAATTTCCATATAAAAACCATTGATTATATATAATTCATCAAAGAAACTACTATTCTACTTAAATATAAGTTATATTTTATAAAAAATAATCGTTAATTTCAAGAATATAGTAGTATTAACCATGTATTGAAAAAAACAAAGTTCATGTATTGATCAATATACTAATAAATCAGTAAAAAAAATAAAAAATAATAAAATTCTTTAAAAAATAAGATATTCTTTTTTTTTTATATTTATTTTATATATATAACTATATGACATATTTTGAGCTAGATTATTTAAGTTTTTATATTATATACAATGAATGAAAGGTTAACTTTTTATATTATTTTACTTACTCATACATTAAATGATAATAAATTTTTTTATTAATCAACATATTGATAATAAATATAATCAATAACTAATATGCTAGAAAATTAGTTCTCAACTAAACAAAAATATAAATATTATTTTTATATTTTTTGCTATCCAATATTTTTTTGTGATGTCCAGCAATATAAAATTAATTAGTTTATAAATATATTATTTTATTTTGTAATTTGTAAAAAAAAAAAAAATAAATATTAAATTATAACATTTTTATTAACTAAATATTTCATTTATATAAATTTATCATAAAACATTTTAATGAATTATATAAAAGAGTATATTTTCGCATTTTAGATATAATTTAATGTTACTTCTGAATTTATTAAAAATTGTAGAACTTGTAACTAAATGAGCTCATTATAAATACTTTACCTGGTTGAAATAATTAAAACATACAACTACAAATAATATATAGAATTTTTCCTTTTTAATTTATACTCTTATATTATTATTATCTGTGTTTTTAATTTATAATTATTTGAGTACTAATTCACATAACATATTTGAAGCCAATTATTTATATCTCTTTAATTTTTTACATTTATAATGTTTTATGTTATGCAATTAAATAAAAAAAAAAACATAAGATTTTTTTTGTATTTATATAGATAAAAAATTAAAAATGTAAAATGATAAAGAATTGTTAAAAAGCTATGATTTTATTTTCAAAATATAATTTTACTTGTAATTTTTTTAAATAATAGAAAACATGCATATTATATTTTACTACATTCTTCAATTTGATGATTTATAAATTTTCTTATAAATTAGTATGTATTATTAAATGTGTTTATGATGTATGATTTATAATAAAACTTTTTTTTTTAATTTTAATATAAAAATGCGTTAGAAGTATCTTATCTAAAGAAAAAAATTAAAAACAGATTTAATCGAATAATATATGATTTAATTTATCCTACACTAATTCTTGTTTTTTGTTGAATATATTGAGTAATAATTTTTTTAACATTTTAATATCTTAACAATTATTGTGGATTAAAACAAATTGTAGTGGTTTTTTTTTTTTTTATATTTTTAATTAAATTTTACATGTATATTAATTATAAACGTGAGAGAAACTATGCATGACTAAAAGTAGATTTTAAGAAAAATTCAATAAGAAGTATATATAAGAGATAAAATAAAAAAAGAGAATATGATGATTTATTATTATCTTTTCATTATTTGCATTTTTCAGGTATTAGAATAAATATTCTAAAGAATTAATATAATTTTTTTCATTTTATATATTTGGTTTTTTCTATTACTATTTAAGTAGCCTAAAGGATATTATTATTTTTTATGATAGTATAATAAAAATATATTTTTTCATGCTTCATGATATTCATTAATATCTATATATTTTAAACAAAAGGTGACGGACAGCTTTTCACAATTTTAAATATATCGCTTTACTGGATATAACTCTATATTTTTGTTAAAAAATTCTTCATAAAAGAAATAATAAAATTATTTTTCTTTTAATAAAAATATAAAATTAGCATTCATAAGGAAAAAAATAAGATTAATAATAAAAAATTAAATTAAATTTTAAATTTAAGAAAAATTTTCTCTTAATTTTATAATTTAGACAATAATTTTCATATTTTAAGGACTAATGGAAACAAATAAACATATGTATATTTGTAGAACTGCAAAATATTATTAACGTGCTTATAAAACAATATGAAATAATAATATTAGTTTTAGTTTTAGATTCCTAGAAAAAATTAAATAATTTTCTGAGTATAAATTAAATTAATAGTTGTACAATTATGTAAATCTAAAAGAGAAATATATGATTAAATATTCATTTTGTATATTATGTTTTTTTATATATAATTTATTATTTGGTTAAATTTCCATAAAAAATTGTTATCTAATATACTATAATTATTTTTATTAAATGGAAAAATAAAAAAAATAATATTCTGATATAAGTAAAAAAATAAAAATTATATGTTATTATTTTTTTTATAAATATTCAACAATATTCAAAATAAATTACATAGGAGAATTATATTATAAATATTTGAAATTGGAAGAAATATATTTCAGTGGTTTATTATTTATTGAAAATATGACAATTACAAGCAACCTTATATTAGTACAATATTTATTATATTATATCATACTAGATAAGAATATATCTTATATCTTCTCATATATTTTTGTATTATATGAATATAGTGTATTTAATTTATATGGTTTCTTTTTTTTTTATTAGGATTTTTGAAGAACTTTTCATATTTGTTTTAATTAAGCTTAAATTGTTTTCTTGTTTTAAAAATTTAATTTGAATTAAAATTAGTTTGTACTATTATGTTTTAGGAAAAAAAATTTTCATAATTTAAAGAAAGAAACTTATTTGCTATAGATTAAGTAAAAATATGGAATAAAATTATATTTACAATATAATTATTAAGTATACATGTGGCTACATATTTTTGACACTTACCTTTTGTTATATTTATAGTAGAATAATACGGCCAAAAAATTTTTATGCAAAAAACTAAATAATCATTAATTTAATAATGTATTCATTATTAAAAAAAAATATGTTATTCCTACAAATTTGCATGCAAAAAATAAGAAAAAAAAAAATTAAATCCATTTAAATAAAATAAAAAATAAATAATATAATTGAAATAAAAAAAAAATAAAACAATTAAAAATCAATTTAAATATTCAAAAATATATATTAATTTTTTTTATTATACTAAAAATACGAGAGTATATTACATTAATTTTTATATATTTTGTTATCCTATAAATCCTTATTTTATACTTATTAATTCTTTATTTAAGATGAAGGTTTCAATGATATTACATTTATTTAATATTTTAGTTGCTATCAATTTATTAGCACCATGTTTTTGCCTTAATAAAAAAGATAATGTAGAAGATAATAATGATATTATAAGCATTACTGAATCTATAGAGAAAAGTAGAAAAAAAAAAATTATGTATACTTGTGCAGCTTTAGCAACAACATTGGCTGCAGTAACAGGAATAGCATTGGGAATTTATTTTACCAGAGATAAACGTAGATCTGTATGGGAAAATGACGATTTAGGAAATGCTGCTTCTGAAATTATTGATAAAATAGTAGACGAAGGAAGTAAGAATGGACAAATAGCTCTTGAAAATGGACTAGATTTAGAAAAAGTTATTAAAAATAAAGATATTAAAAATGCTTTGAAAACTTACCTTGAAAAAAGTGAAACAAAATTTTCTGGATTTCAAAAAAGAGAACTGTACCATTATGTTCCATTTATTTCACATATAATAAGGCATAAACTGAAAAATAATGATTCATATGATTCATAAAAATGTATTATGTTTAGTGAAAAGAGTAACTGTAATGATGATGATTTTAGTAGTAGTAATTTTAAAAGTTTTTCTAGATATAAAGTTTTATAAGAGAAAACTGACTTCATATAGATTTAGATAATAATTATAGATTTTAATTAATACTTTGTAATAAGTAAAGAAAAACTAAATAAAAAATAAATAGTTTAATATATAAATTCACAGTAAAAAAATAACTTATTCGTAAAATTTATAGATTATATTTTCATAAGTGTTTTATGTTGAATAAATTTTGATAGATAGTTTTTTCCTTTTACATATATTTTATGAGTAATAATAAAGAGAACTAAAATTTTTTTCATATGTTTGTTAATTGTTATCTGAATATATAAAATTCCTCTTATCCCTTTTTAATATTTTTTTTAAAAAATAATTATATATGACTGAGGAAAACAATTTTTATTTTAAAACAAAAAAAAAAAAAAAACATTTCATTTTTTGTATAAAAGTTTATATAGTATTAATGTATGTTACTTTTTATAATATATTATATATAAAAATGGAAGTAATTAAATTGTATTTTTTTTGCATTTTATTAAATAAAAATTAAAAAGTTAATGTACAAATAACAAAGAGTATTTGGAAAAAATTCTAATATGAAATGAATAATTAACATTTTAGTATTATACCTTTAATATTTTCATTATATTTTATCTTTATATTTTTTAATAAGACTAAATAAAATGTTCTTAAATATTAAAAATGATAATTATTTTTAATGAAATTGTTAATATCTGAATAAGTTTTTTTTTTTGTGTATCCGCTTTATTATTTGGTTGATCAAAGGATTTTGTAGATTTCAGAACAATAAAGTTAGTAAATAGAGTGCAAAGAAATTTATACTTATTTAATTCGTTAGATACAAGTGGTCAGTAAAAAGCATTATTAACATTTTTGAGAATAAAAATTAATAGCTATATTAATAATATACAGTTGTGTTAGACAAATTAAAAAAAAAGAAAAATTTCATTAATTTTTTTACTTTTCTTTTTTCAAGTTTTAAAAAAATATGTTTTTTTTTTAATTTATTTGAATAATTTGAAAAATAATTGCTAATAAAGACATTTCTTTGATAGTAAATTTTGTTATATGTTTTAAAAGAAAATTTTATACTTACAATAGTAAAATTTTAATGTTTATAATATTTATATAATTTAAATTCGCATTTTAATAATTATTTTTGATAACGTAAAAGTATTGGTTTAGAACTAAACAATATTCATAGGATTATAATTGAAATGTACTTAAGTAGAAATTAGTAATTAATGAGGATTTCAATTTTTAATAAATATAAGAATTTTATAGAAGTAAATAAATGTCTCTTAAAAAAAATAAATGGTTTGTGGCGCATTCTACTTAAAGAAAACCTGCTTGCTTATATCATTAAAGATAAATTTGAATTAATTAAATTAATAGGAGAATTTATGCATGTTTTTTATTAATTTGTTTGTTCAATACTCTAGAAAAGTCAATGAATAGGCAGTTAATAAACCGGTCGTTTATTTTAGATAATAATTATTTATATATAAATTATACCGAATAATTTAAGAGAAATTTTATTTCATATTGAAGTTTTTTTTTCACTTTAAATTTTTAATGATTTTTTACTTAATGTAAATTTTATCATTTACCCCCCTTTTTATATTAATATCTATAAAACTCACACATGATTATATTTTACTTACATAACAATCATCAAAAAAAAAAAAGAAAATAATAATAAAATAATTATTATTTTATAAGAAGAAACAACAAAAGAAAAAGTACTATACATATATATATCTTATATTTTTAAAAAAAAATTATCTGTTTTTTTTTTTTGTTGATTTATTAATTATTCATTCAATGGCTTTGCTAGTATTGAACAAAAAAATTAATAGAGAGCATGTGAAGAAAACTCTACATATTTGATTTATATTAAATTAAAACTTTATGAAAATTATCCACTTTTATTGATTAATATCAAATATTAATTGCATTAGTTAATTACTATTGTTGTCAATTTCATGATATCCCATTATATCATATTTTACATTAAATTTTAATCTTTCATAAAAAAAAATTCTTTACATTATTGTCTTCTAAAAAAAAAAGAATTTTTTTTTCTAAGATGTTACTTTTTTACTATAGAATAATAAAAAAAAAAATCATTATCAAAAAAAAAAAAAAATTTATAATTTGTTTTATGACTGTAATTACACAAAAATAATATTATTATAAAAATATATCTACACATTTTTTTTAATGTACTTACTTTTAGAGCAAGTATATATATACATTTTTTTTTTTTAATGCAAATATATATTTTTTTAGTGTTCATATTTATGTGTGAACGTTTTCTCCACATATTACCATGTACCAGATAAAATGTTTTTAATTATTTTAATTAATTAAATATTATATAAAACAAATAGATAATGTTATTTGTAAATCATAATCAATCATCGTGAGAAAAATGATGATATCATTTTATTTTATTTTATTCTTTAACTTGCTTGACAATTTCAAGCCCTATATGTATATCTTTATCTATTTTAATGTCTCCATTGTCATTTAATTCATATGGTGTTGTAATGTTACTTCTACAAATATGAGAACAGTCTTTATGTTTCAATTCATATAAAAGTTCTTATTTTTTTTTATTTTTATCAGTGATTGGCATTAAATTTCTTAATTGAGTCTCATACACCTCCCTAGTTTTATTTTAGAAAGTGAGATTTAAATTTCTTTATTTCTATAGTATATAGATACTGCTGTTAATTTTCCACCTTCAATTTTAGTTACCCTATGTGGTAGAGACTAATGAGATTTGTATTTACTATTATCATTATAATGCTTCAATTGCTTCCGTTTACAATCTGATAACTAATATGATATAATATTACCAACATTGACATCTTTAATTGCTACGAGTGGTTTATCTATCAATCTATTTAAATTTCCATACACTTATTTCTATAAATTATATAAGTAAATTGTTCTAATTTATCAGATATTTTCAGGTAACAATTTTGAAAAATAAGGATATATGCAATCCATTTGAACATAATAAATATGGTGTTCCTTTTAAAGCCCGTTGAAGTGTATTATTACATATATAGTCCTTTTGCAACGTATTTTGAAATTCTCATCTTACACGAATAGAACCACGATACATAATAATACTTCTAGGACATCCAAATATAGGGATCCAAGTGCTTATTATAGCATTTATATCAATAGCTTTGGGTAATCTTTTAATAAAACTACTTGAAATTAACCATGAATAATTATCTATTGCTATTTGAATGAGGCATTCTTCTTCTTTTCAAGTCTTAGATCTAACAATACATAAAGAAACCATACATAATAAACTAGGTTTTAATAATTCTTGATTAATCTTATATTCAAACTTTTTATTACGAATTACTTGATAAACTACACAATTCGAGAAAATATTTTTGAACATCACGAATAATATTGAAACATTAAAAATGCCATCATATTTTCTTTAAAGTTTTATTGACTGCACAAAGTCCATCAAATATAACACAACGAAATCATTACATTAAATGAATTCTATATTTTTCTGGTATATATAACCTTCTTGTTTTATAATGAATGGAAAATTCATTTCTTCATTCTTAATCTCTTAGAATACTATTATTTTCTTTTATCAGAGCATCAGATATTCATTACAAGATGGAATAACAAAAAAGTTTTCATATTCTTTTAGTAGTTTATTACAAAATAGAGTCATTCAATTAAAAAAATAATTTTAATCTTATATAGATCAGTTATCCAATTACCTAGACTATTTTGAACTCTTTCAATATGCTCAAATTCTAGATTAAATTATAATGGCCCTTATTTTTATCTATATAATATCCTAGTATTAATAAAATCTATTACTATTAGACATTTACAATTACTCTTAATCGATACTTTAGACTCTTGAATATAATAGTTGAAAGTTTCACAAGCTATAACTATTGAAAATTATACTTTTTCTATTGTATTTCATTTAAAATGGACATCATTTAACTTCCTTGATGTATATTAAATATATATAATTTGATCTTTATCATATGAATTAATACAGGTCCTGTAGAATAATATGATGCTTCTGTATATACAACCTAAGGTTATCTAGGATTAGGAAATAATAAATAAATTATTCCTTTCATTTTTTTTTTATTTGTTCAAAAACCTGTGAATATTTTTCATTTCAAACAGAATTTTTTCTTTTAGTCCATAATTAGTTAATAAAATGTATTATTAATCTTTTTGAAAGTAAAAAATAATAACTGCATAAAAAGTAAATAGTTATGGAAGCTCTAGATAAAAAAAAATAAAAGGAGTTAATTTTTCTGTTTTCTTTTTGCGAATTTAAAATGAGTAAAAAAATATATTTGTTCTTTTTAAAAGTGATTAAATTGTCGAAAAATTAAATGGAATATTTAATGGCCAAAAAGTTTCTTGTAGTATATTTTGTTTAAAATTTTATAATAAAATTTTATATTAACGATCATTAAATTTTCATGTTTTGTAGTATCTATATAATTTATTTTGTATTTTGATAATTTTAGAGTAACGAATTTGAATTGTTTAGTACTGCTCATGACATTTCAAATAAAATGTATGTAATTAAAATCAGTAGCTGATGAGGATTTAAATTTTTAATAAAAATATATGGTTTTTATTAAAATAAATAAGTTCCTCTTAAAAACAGTAAATGCTCAATGAAGTAGATTATATATAAAATATCTTATTGGTTTATAGTATTAAAATTGTACTTAAATTAATTATATTAGTAGAAGAAATTCTACATGTTCTTTATTAAAATGTTTGTTATATACTCTAACGGAGTCACTGAATAGGCAATCATTAAATCAATAATGAAATCAATTTATATTCCCATTTTGAAAATTTTCTAATATAAATTCTACAACTATTAGCACTTCCTAGAAATAATTTTC